CTTTAGTTTTTGTGTCTGATCTTATTCAAATAAGTCTTTTCTTGTTTTTATAATATTGAACATTTTTTATAAGCTACAAATAATAATCCTTTTATTCTTTGTGCTTAACATTTCAACAAGAAGACTTGATTTTGGATGGCCCCAATCTCCCAGTTGGCAGCCGTTTTATTAGGGCGCTTTTCAACATAGGCAGTAGTACTTATTTAAACCTTCCGTATAGTAAATTTTAAAGATATTTGTTACATAGAACTGCATCATGGGGCTAGATCAAATAATTGTGCTTTATCATCTTAGTTTTGAATAAAGAAGGATTTAAATTGTATCACTTGGAAACTATTTTATTACATAAATAAATAACAAATCGATAGGGGATCAGCTAGTTAGAGTCCTTCGGTCTCTGACCTCTGAGCCAATCATATTGCGTAAAAACTCCGCTGACCTAAAAAAAATTTGCGAGGGTTTCCCCCTGTTTTGATGTGAGGCAAAATTTTAAGCTCCGCTATATATAGCAATATAGCCGCTGCTATCATCAAATTTCCCCCAGGTGCTAGAGCATGCCTTACTTACACCACCTAGCTTTAGATTCAGGAGTTGAGACTCTCAATCATCACTAAAGTAAGTAGCGATAACCAGGTGGAGGCGGCCTATCCATCTCCTAGTCTCGGATAAAGTCTTGCTGAGCTTCAGGGATAGGCACATCCACACAACGTAAAAAAGGTATGCTTCAAAAGAAACATAATAATAAAAGAAAGAAGAAAAGAACATATTACTATAGGAGTAGAGTAGTATGCAGGCAAAAAAAAAAGGATACCCACTTTGTCGTGGGTCAAAGAAAAGCATATCACAAATACAACATCAAAGATGTTCAAAACAACTCGTTGTTCTTGCAATAAAAATGCATACATGAGCAACGTGCATGGTAGTAATAGTCAGATGTAAAGCAACATGGCACAAATACGCACAACTGCAAAAGCAACAGTGGTATTATAAGTTTGCAATACAACGTAATAACTATTGTTGTTTCATGTAAAGCTACAGAGGAAACACTACCAACAAAAGAAAAAAAAAGAAGAAAAAAGCGCAACAAGGCAAACATGATGAATGCATTACCACGAGAAAGGAAGTAATAATATAAACGTTCAAAGAAGTTTTATATCATTGCGACCAGAAGAAAAAAGATACTCACCACTTACTACAGCCACAAATACACCAGAAGAGTATAGGCAATCACCGGAGACAGACCAGAGAACGAGCATGCACCAAATACAGTAGACCAGGAAAGACCAGATTAGCAGCAGCAGCAGCAGCAGCAGCAACACCAACACCATAGAAAAACTAAAGAACGAACGCCATCAGAAGAGAGAAGACAAAGACCAAAGAAGTTACTTACCACTTATCACCACCACAGATAGACCAGATATTACGCAATAACCGGATATGGACCAAAGAACGAGCATGCACCAAATACAGTAGACCAAGAAAGACCAGATTAGCAGCAGCAGTAATACCGGCACCATAGAAAAACCGAAGAATAAACGGCATTAGAAGAGAGAAGACAAAGACCAAAGAACGAGCGACACCAGCAGAGACCATACAAAGACCAAAGAAGTTACTACTTATCACAGCCACGGATAGACCAGAGAATAGGCAATCACCAGAGAGAAACCAAAGGACAAGCATACAAAAGAGACAGCAAATCACAAAACAACAAACTGGCAGCAAGACCACCAGCAATAACAACACCAGCAGCAACACCAGCAGCACGCACGTGAAACAGACAAAAAAAATCGAAACCTAATAAACAAATTCGATTAGTGCTTGTTCTAAGTTTTTCTGTGCTCGTTGCCGAATGGTACCTGCTATATTTCACTTCAAAGAAGCAGTATCAAGTCTTTCTAATAGTACTAGACAGTGTTAACATAAGCTAGAGTGTTATTATTATTCAAACAGTTTCCAAAACCACCATGGTTTGATACTAAACGCGTTTGGCAAAAAAGGGAAAAAAAACGGGGGTATGGAAAAATGAGAGGGCGCCCTATTCGACGTCACTACCAGTGGATTAAGCCTCAGTCTTCTGCAGTGGCAGCCGTAATTGCTGAATTTTAATTTGAATTTGTGTAGTGGATATTTTCGTATTCAAATTTGACCTGATCTGACATCCTTTACACATTTTTGCCAAATTTGACTATGAAAACTGTCGTTATCACATCCAGCTTTCTAATACATCCTTAGAGAACTAAAGAAGCCGCATTGAATGATGCTAATTATATGCAGCGTTTAGACTGAAAATAACGAGCAATTCGCAAAAATATGAAAACAGGTTTTCTGTCAGTATGTCAAGATTTCGCATATACAAGTCTCATAGAAACTGTTTTCAATGTTTTATTTCATCTTTACGATCAATTTGATCTAATATGCATCAAAGAAAAAGTCTTCATTTTTGGGGTGAAAAACGCGATCGTTTGATTTTCAAGAATTTCCCCGTGCTAATACTCATGGAAAAACGATGATTTTCATGAATTTGCAACGACACAAAAAACTTTGAGATAAAGCATCAGTAAGTAAGGCGTATCAAAGTAGAGCCATTCGGTGCTATTCCAAGCGCACAGAACGCTTTGTGTCATGAGTTATTCCTGCTTCAAAATGGCTAAGCTTTGACAGAATTTGGCCTAAAAACAAGGCGTTGTGGAATACATCCACTATGATCTGCATTTCGACAGTTCATCCAATTACCAGATTTAGATATAAACTATATGTACACTGGATTAGATGTACGATACCGATTTATACTATAAAAAGAAGAAGCTCTTTGCTTTTGTTTTAGATACAGCTGACAACTGATTATTATCATCAACTTATTACTACGAATTCATCATGAGAATTGATTATTATTATCGACTGTATTTTTACAAATTCATCATTATTTGAATAAGGTCAGACATAAAAAACAAAAGATTTATAGATGACGACAAGAGTTATCCTATCTACTATACTAAATTCTGGATGTCAAAGCAGCAATTTATCTTGTACAACGTTTTTATCACATTGGGTGAACACCAGCATCTAGATAGCTGAGATGCACTTCAATTATTATAGCTTGTCCATGTTGTTGCACAACACAGACATATCTACCCATCAAGAATACCTTACTCTTTATAGACAGTTGTAGCCCTTCTGGCACAACAGAAAATTCATGATTTTGCACGATACCCTTTTTTGGACATACCTCGACGAATACTCATCGTATTCGCATAAGACAAAAACAATTCGATAACTCTACGTTCAATCCATCATAATGTAAGAGCTTGAAGTACCAAACGTGCGCTCCTGTTATGATTTTCTTCAAAATCTTGTATGTTATGAACTTTATATTTAGTAAGGAAAGCTGTCCAGCGAATCATGATAGTAGCATCATGAGAGCCACATAACTTGGCTCAAGATGAAGTTTTGTCTTGAACGATATCAATCTTTAAAATGTATCTACAATCTGTATCTTAATAGGCTTACTTTCTAACTTGTTCTGAAAGTTTCCAAGAAAAATGATTACTGAATCTGCACCACTTCACTTATAGCATTACTCAGTGTGTAGACCCAAGAAACACCTATCATTCAAGATCTCAGGTAAAGCTGTAGTATTGTTAGCTCTCCTGAATGTACGGTGCGCAATAGGTCAGCCCCAGCCCCAGCCGACATTGTCCAACAGCAATCAAGCAAAGCTAATTTTTGCTATAGTGAAGCATATGAAGTTCTTGTTGTATCATTCATTCCATGCAGTAAGCTTGTGAACTAGAGTTGAGCACGACATAGACGCCTCTTTGCTGTGATTAACAAAAAAATGCGTTTTTGCCATTGTAACCTACAATTTTGGGAGTCGAAACTCTTATCTTTGCTAGGAAGCTTTGCAGATACTCAAACGACATCTCATTTTGTAAAATAAACACAGGAAAGCAATATTAAATTCATAGAAAAAAAAAGCTTAGTTGAGGCGGCAGTTGTACAGATAATAGTGTTCAAACAATAATGATCTTTTCACATTCTTGTTGGTTGGTTTTACATTTTGCTCGCTTGGTTACTTTACAATCAATCTAAAAATTCCTTTATAAAAATGTTTAACAACCCTTCAAAGCGGGCATATAATGGTCCTGATATTAGGTCTCTAGCATCAACGTAAGGCGTGAAAAAACCGTTCCCCTTCTTGGTAAAATGCGCAATATAGCTTAAAGCCTTTGCTAAACCACGGTGAAATGAGATATCACCAAGCGGTTTTGAATGCAACTTTTGCCAGCAGCTCTTATATCGATCTATTACGTGTAAGTACTTGTACTCAACAGGTTTTCTTGGAGAAAGATAGCAATTATTCTACTTAAAGAAGCTGAAACTCGCCTTTCCATCGTTGAGAGATTCTATACTCTATACCCCGTACTAACAGTAACTTGCAGGTCCTATTAAGTTTGTACGGAGTGATAATCCGCATTGAATGGATCTACAGCCTGTATTTAGATGAATATATTTTGAAGGTATTTTGAAGGTTTTCAAAGTAGAATACATCCTAAACTTGCACTAATACTATGCTTGTTGTGGTAAGTTAGATCTAGCTTGCTGTAAGAGGTATGATTATCAAATGTATGTTTCCTATGTTGAGCTGTCCAGAGTCATGTTATATATCCTTCTCAAGCAGTCGAATTGCAACAGTATACATGTTAATTACATAGTCAACGATGGGATCAGATAATTATCAAAAAGAGCGTACTGTATGAAATTCAGAGGTTGTGCATGTATTGGCAATCACTGTCATTATCTCCAAAAGCTTACGAGTTTGCATATTTGATGTTGATTTTACGAGGTCTACATACGATGACAATAATTTCATAAGTCTTGACTTCAGACGGTTTATACAAAGGTGTTTCCTTTAGCCAGCCGGCTGATAAATTGACTATATTTTTATGGATAGATGCAATGCACTATGATTAAAGATGCGTGAATAAATGAAAGAAAACATATCAAAAGCGATTATTGTTGCTCATTTCATGTGGATGATTTTTGATTCTTCCACTCCCAGAGGTATACGCGTTGATTGGATTTTGAATGTAGTGTTGGTAATTGTCAACGAGGGGATTGTGTTGTGGCTGAGGCTCGTAAGGCTGCTGTTGAGAACGGTATATGTTAGCCATTTCAATCACATTTGTGTTGTTTAGATTGTGGGGATCATGAGATCGATACGCTCTTCCAGCTACAAAATATTCCATATCCTCTGTCATTTGTCGATGTGGCGCAAGTGGGGGAGTTGGATACTGCTCTGCTGGAGCATGATGATAAGAGGATAGGATATCATGATCATCATATTCAGTACTCCCTGAATTGGTGTCCATGTAAGATGCTGATGTGACCAAAGGTCTTCTAGGAGAGTACATGTCGTTCTTAGCTGATGCGCTTGAGCCGTTGTTGTAATGTAAGGATGCGCTGATTCGATTACTGAGTCTTTTTAGTGGATTCATAGCGATGGTATTGTTGTTGATATTGTTGTGAGAAGAGAAACTGTTGCTGTAATAGCTGGTTTTTGGTGGATCCACAATATTCTGTTCCTCCTCATCCTCGTTGAACTTGTACATTCCCTTGATGCCTTCTGTTGAATCATCCAGCTCCAAGTCCTTTTCGCCAATACTTTGAAACTGTAATTCTCCACCAGGCCCTCCTGCGTCGTTTTGTAGATGAATAACGGATACATGGCGAACACTCTTTTGTCGTGTCATGCGACTGATGAAAGGCTTTTTACTTGCATTGCTTGCACTGCTGCCGTACAGTTTGGGCAGCAAATGTCGCACACGTTCATGAACCATAGGCACTGGAAGCTCTGCAAAGAAGGCTGGATCACCAAATCGAAATCCAATGGAGTTCTTTGCTTTTCTGGCATTACTGTCTCCGTGCTTGTAATCTTGATCGTATCTTGCTGTTACTGTAGGTTCCATCTTTGGGGTATAATAGTAGACTCTATTGTCAAAACGTCGACTACAAATGATTTTGAACAGAACGGTAATCAGCGGCAAAGGTGCTACAGCAAGCGAGGGTATACGGGCACTTTTGAGGTTGAGAACACCAACCATAATGACTTGAAACAACACTGTAGATACCAATAATCGATTGAACAGCAAGCGCCAAATCTGACCGCCTGTTTCTACAGCAGTGACAAATACATACATTAACAAGTATTTGAAAACCATGGTTGCCAGAAGGAAATAGAGCATAGTGAATGGTAATACGAGAGGTGCAATTACAGAGTAAACGAGGCCTACTGTAAAAAAGAAGAGCAGTACATTGTAAAAGAGTGGATAGTCAAATGCCGTAGGTCGAGTGAATTCTATAGACAAATTAGAAGCAATTCATCCGCTTTTCACACTGACCTCACCTTGCAATTGGCGTGGACTAGGCCTGGTAAACAACTTTCTGTAGGATTGGAAAACAAGGGGGTCAGCACAGTTTGTACATGTCATGAAATGGCTTCGTACATACCTCAAGGTCACAGTCAACAGAACAACTATCTGCGCTAGATCCACAATGACACCCAGGCCTTTTAATGACACATAATTAACCCAATAAGTTGAGACATCTATCACACATGGTAAGTTTCCCTGCATATGGCACCATTGCTCAGTAGCACCTCACCACTCAGATTTTTGGCTACTTGTGTCAGATTGCCACTCATAGTGGAAAAGAACTGCTGTGCCGTTAGTGTAGTCCCATTTTCGACGGCCTTTTGAATCTCTGCATACACGGCAATCAATGTAGAAGATACAGTGAAAACCAGCAAATTATTGATGATAAAGAAGATAAACAACTTTGCCAATACCTGCCGGTCCAAACTTGTTCCAGTCATATATCCTTGTTGCTGAGACATGAACCTCAAAATCTTGGGCAAAATGAAAAAGAAGATGGCCATGACAATTGGCGTAAACCACGAACTAAGTAGCGAGACAAATGTCTTGTGCTCCTTCATGAATTGAGTGGATCCAGGAAACAGCCTCAAAAAGTCCTTGACGTTGGAAGACGCCGACAAGAAACTGGATGGAATGAACCAAAAGAACACAAATCCATAGAATATAAACGTGACAATCAGTCGCTTTGTTCGCTTGACGTGCTCGTTGAGTGACAGGTTGGACCAAATGATGTCTTTGGGCTGTGGTGCTAGTTCAATCGAGGGTGTGGCTCCTTCAATACGTTTTGGCAGTGATTTTAGCGGCGATGAAGATGAAGCTAGAAACTTTGCATTGGCATGTGCCCAGGACACTTTGTCGTATGATATCCAGCCATAATTCGTCTTTTTACTCGTCGATATGCGGGAGCGTGCTTCTGTGATCTTTTCCTGTAGCTCTTGCACCTTCTCCGAGTAGTAATTAATAGCATCCACCTTGACTCCTCCACAGCATCCAAAGTAGCCTCCAATGCGCTCAAGAGGCCTCTTTTTGCCTTCGATCACTTGGCCATCTGTAAGTCATGGTGTTAGTTGAGAGATGGCACTCCTCTACATGTCTACATCCATACCTTTCAAATGATTTGACAAGATAATTTCCAGCTTCCTCACTGCCTCTTCATGCTCTTCCACATATTTTGCAAGCTCTGTGTTCTGTGTACCTATGCACACTTGTTGGGCAGGGTATTTGAGTCCAAGCGAATGGACCCAGTTGCCGAGTGCTTCATCAGAGCGCATAGACGGCGGCACATTAAACACCATCAGTGATCTCGCATGCATTGATTTCTGATATTCATCGCTTTCAAAGTACTGTTGTCTAAATTGCACATAGCTGGCGTAAAACTTCCATAGAAAAATGTAGATGATCAGCGAATAGAGCCATGTTCCAGCAGCATGGCACCAATACCAGTTGAGATCACCGTTGGAACCGTGAAATTTGCCGTCGTAATAGTTGATGGTGGATATTGACAGAAACTCTACGCCTGGAGAGGGAGGCCATTCCCTGTTGGGTGCCGTGTTAGTCTTTCCCTTTTTCGATCTGGTGAATTCTATTTATACCCAGTGTATGAGGTGGCCACAATGTTGATTGGAATGATGACACAGACACCGATAAATGTCATAAAGTAGAGCATCCTTCGAATCATTCGTATGAATTGGATAAACAGCGTCGCATCAAAGCCAATCTTTTCTATTAGTACACTATCTGGCGTGTGCATGACAGGCCCAAACCAAGCAAAGAAGCCTATTGTGGTGTTAGATGTCAAGTCGATTCATGTGGACAGACTGGGTCTCTACCATGTCCTAGTTCGGGTGGCTGCTTTCTACAATACGGATTGTCAGTCAGTACATTACTGGCAGCTTGTTACATCACCTACGTTTTAGTAGCGTATTTGTATTTTGGTGCGTATACCACTAAAGATAGGGTTAGACGCGATTGCTGCTACTGTGTGTATGCATCTTACGAGAGTTGTTTGGTCGTAATATATTGAACACTAGCAAGACGCCGACAGCGATGCCAACATTGATTCCGAGCTGTGTTGCCATGCCAGTCAGCGAGAGTTGCGCATTCTCGGCATTGTCTGCTTTACTGCTCATGTGGATGTGTAGAAAATGTTTAGCAAAAAGAGATGCGTATATGTAATTAAGGAGAGGGAAGGACAAAGAAACCAAGCTTATTTATATGTGTGTTACATGTCCTGTATTTGCTTGATTTGCCTCTCCTCGTGGCATGCACAAAGCTAAATTACACGCTACAAACACCAGCCTTGCACATTGTCCCAGGGAGCAATACCCCTCTTTCTGCATAGGCTTGCCTCAACGAGAGAGGACGTTGAATGTGCAATTGCGCTCACACTGGCTTTGGTGTGGCAGCCCTCTCCCTGCAATCAAATCAGCTGCTTCAATAGGAAGGCAGAAATGCTAAAATACTCTGTTGCACAACATTCATTTACATACAATAAACGACCAATATGGCGTGTCAAGTCATTTCAAAACCAAGGTGGGGAGTGCACAATGGACATTTCATTCAAATCACTGAAAGGCCTTGCAGATATCATATTATCTGTGAACACCTCCTGACCATGGCCGACTCCAGACTGTAGTTATACACTCCACTGCCTGCGATAAACAGAAAAGAGTGAAATCTACCATCTCAAATAGCACAGTTGGCTGAAGGCTCTGTCAGGGGCAATTTTTGATAGATATGATGCATCCAAGTTTTCAAGTATCGCTGTATGAGCTAAAAATAATGTGAATTGACAGCCAATCTATGGGTTAGACAAGCAGTAAAAAGCGCCATCAACACAAATGTGATCCAGAAGTATATTTGCTATCCCATGTTAGACAACTTCACGATGAATCAATGGACGCTTTAGACGTGTTCAAAGCCCACCTCAATTCCACTGAAAGGACCATTTCAACTGGCATATGAAAGTACATATACAAAGGCATGAGAATTCTGAAAGAGACAGCGAGTCCAACACCAGGGAACACTTGTGCTACCAGCTTACCAGTGATTTGACTGAGCAATGGATAATCAAGTGTTATGGGTATCTCTCCGTGCTATAAACAAAACAAGTCAAGGTTTTGACTCATAATATTAACACATTTGGTTAAAAAAAGATCAGATGCATACAACTACACGTAATAGTTTAGTACCAGAAGTAGACATGGCTCTCATCCAACGCATGCAATAAGCGTTTTTTCACCAGATAAGGTATATGACTTGAAGTTGCACAGTGATGGATCCACCACTGGGGTTCAATTCATTTTGTATAAATAGCAAGAGAACTTGGGGTAGCATCCATTTGACTCTTTTTTCTCTCTCTCTCTCTCTTCTCTATCAACATGTCGCTTGATAATCGTACATTACAAACTGTGGGCATCGCAGGTGCCGCTGCTTCTGCTGTGATGGCTGCATTGATGGTGAAATACCATGATCGTCCCTTGTTTTACGAGCATCCCAAGGGAATCGCTTACAAAGGAGGTCTTCCCATCCTTGGTAATCTTCCCTATTTGCTGGGCAACATCCACAGACTGTATGATTTCCAGCTTGAAAAATTCGAAGAAGTGGATGCACTTACCATGTAAGTTGTCCCAATTGAACCAGGAGAGCAAACATGCTAATGCAACATGTAAACCACCACCAGGACAATGCCTGTTGCAGGAAATGTCAGTTCTATCTTTACCATTGATCCACAGAATGTCGACTATATATTAAAAGGTACGGCAGCCCAATGTAACTGTCAATGCAGTTGCTGATGTGCGATCTAGGCAATTTTAAAAACTACCTGAAGGGCCCCAAGTTCAACTGGGCTTTGTCTGAATTGCTGGGTAATGGCATTTTTAATGCAAATGGCGAAAAGTGGAGATATCAACGCAAAGCAGCAAGCCACATCTTTAACGTCAAAAACTTTAGAGATGAATTCACAGAGTAGGTTTGCTGATTGGGTGTCTATGAGCTGATTGACTTACAGGAGCATAGTGTGTTTGTCAAGGAGATGCTCGTTATGTGCGATCAAATTTTGGATAAGTCAGCCAACGAAGGCTCAATTGTTGATTTCCACGAGCTCATGTTTAAATTTACCTTGGACTCCTTTGTCTAGTAAGTGAATCTCTTGTAACTCGGAAGCAGACAGATCGTCTAACAACCATAAAGTCTTGGTTTTGGTGTTCAATTAGATTCGCTGCTCAAGAAGGAAAAGGTGCCATTTGCAGTGTCATTTGACTATTTGCAACGATTAGGTGCACTTCGTTTTGTCGATCCCCTTATAGGCATAAAAGAAACTGTTGGCAAGCTGTTTAATCCCGGCAAGATGTCAACAGCCGATCATGTACGTGCGGTAGATGGGTTTGCAGAAGAAGTCATCAAGCAAAGGCGCAAAGAAATCGCTGAGGGTGTCGATGGCCACAAGGATCTGCTCTCCCGTTTCATGAACGCTGTCAATGAAAATGGCGAGAAACTAAACGACACTGAGCTGCGTGACACTGTACTTAACTTTATCATTGCTGGCAGAGATACCACAGCCCAAGCATTATCGTGGCTGTTTTATAACTTGTCGCTGCAACCTCGTGTTGAAAAGAAGATCATTGACGAAATTCAAGACAAGATATCTGACGATGCTGAGAGAGATTCGCCTGCGTTGTATGAGATTATTAACAACATGCCATACCTCCATGCTGTGTAAGTAACTGTAATATTATGGACCGTACTGGTAGAAACTAACGCCCCTGGCACTCTAGCTTCTATGAAACCCTTCGTTTGCATCCCTCTGTCCCCTCAAATCAAAAGTACGCTCTTGAAGATGACATTTGGCCCGACGGTACTGTCGTTAAGGCTGGCTACTATGTCAGTTGGAGCCCTTACGCACAAGGAAGAAGCACCAAGGTATGGGGTTCCAATGCCAAAGACTTTTATCCCGAGAGATGGATTGATGAAGAGGGCAATTTGCGTCGTGAAAATGCTGGTAAATGGCCCGCTTTCCATGCTGGACCTCGTATCTGTTTAGGTAAGAAAGCCACTCAAGCGATGGAGATCAAATTTACTGAAATGTTGCTTGTAGGACAAAATTTAGCTACTCTTGAAGCATTGGTTTGTGTCGCCATGTTGTTGAAGCGTTATACGTTTAAATTGGTTCCTGGTCACCATGTTACCTATGAATTCTCATTGACTTTGCCCATGAAGGATGGCATGAAGGTGTATGTCGAGAAACGTCGTTGATCATTTTTATTTTCCATTTTCATAAAATGACATGTGTTGTCTTGATGTATAAAACAAGTTCAAGTGTAAAATTACAAGTGTAGCTGTAGCTGTAGATGTGTGTTTTCTAAATGCCAACAATATTGATTTCGCCGTTGGCTACTGCCTCCATAGACTTCTTGTGAACAAGGTAAAAGTTGAGGTAGTATGTGAATAAAGCGACGGCAGCAAGTCTAGTCAAACATTGAGTATCCATTGTGCGTTCCATTGTGCGTCTATCAACTTACAAAGCGCCACTGTTGCCCATAGAGTCCTTTGATTTCAAGGTCTTTCTAGTGTTTAATGTAGCAACGAGACCAAAGTAAGCAGCAACCCAAGGAATAATCTTGTAACGGTTCTATTTGATCAACATGTGAGTATCCGAGTATGTCCTGCATTGAGTTTATAGATAGATACTCTGGTCATGATGCCGCCCATTGCTACCAAACAGAATAAAAGACACGAACATCAGTCAGCCATTTCATGACGATAGATGCACAATCAACTTACAAACCAAGGTAGCCAACATGTGAGACCAATCTTCTTCTTCTTCGTTTCTACGAGGAAGATGGAAGGGCACGATAGCTTCTTCTCTGCGAGGATCTTGCTTGGAGGAGGACATTTATGTGTATAAAATAAGAAAGAGATGTAGACAACACGACTGTTGGCTGGAACCTCACACTTTCATTCAACATCCGTGTCATCTGCTTTGCTCTGCTTCTCACTGTGACTAGATTGAGAGCAACCACATTTTCGTTTGCCTCTTTCTTTTCATCGCGTTTAAACATAAAATGGCCACCAAAAAGTATGACTCACTAGGCATCTAGTTTGTTTTCGTTGCAACTAACCCGTACAACAGAGCTCGTCAAGATTACATTTGTCGTGTGAGATATCGCAATGTGCTGCCACCGGTGCCTTACGCTCCTAAAATGATCACCATCCCTTCGCTTATCGAACGACATGTGCCCTATCAATCCACAAGTCTAGTCGAACAAACACCTTACTCGCTCACAATGGATCAAAGCGCAGCTATTCCATTTGATAAAGCCCTTGTCGATTATTTGGATGCAATGGAGAGTAACCCAGAAGAAGGTCAGTGTGCCGACAGTGAATATCTGCTACATGTATTAACACAGACACACAGTATCGAGACCTATTGAAGAAGTTGCAGAGGAAGACAAAATCTTGTTGACAACACCCACCGACGGACAAGGCAACAGTGGCATGTATACCAGAAAGCCCAATGTTACTTGGCTGCGTCGCTCAGAATACATTGCGCAAGAGACTCGCGGTGTCTCCAACAGAAAAGAAGGTGTCGAGAGTAAGTTTGCCATGTCTGGTGCTACTGCAAAGAGACGCAGCTACAACACACTGCAAGAACAGATTGCAGGCGTTGAAAACACATTCAAGCAGCCCGACATCAACACACTGCAACACCCTCAAACGAAATCAAAGGCCAAAAAGATCACACCGCTACTACCAGACATGCAATGTTGGGAGAATATTTACACCATTGGTCAATTCAGTGCTGAACCAGCGGATGAGGCGAGACTGCAAAAGAGACGATTGATGATGGAAGACTTTGACACATACAAGCGACCTCGACTGTCAGAACTAGACGCCACAGATCGTGGTATTCTGAGACCCATGGTCAATCCACACGACCCTGAAGACACCTACCTTGTCTGGTTCTTGCCAGACGGTGAAAGCACAAAGCGACTGGTGAATCAAAAGCAGAACCCCTTGGAAGGACTATCTGAAGATGTGCTTACCTACAATGCTGTGTGTGATTACGAGTACAAGAATGACGCAGGATCCAGCAGCAAATACATGCTTATTTCGATCCACAACGATGATATGGGAGAGAGAGCCGTATACTGTCCTATCCGAAGCAAGATGGTGGTTCGCAAGAAGAGAGCTCAGGTAAATAGAGAGAGAGAGAGAGAGAGAGAGAGAGAAATTGTACGTTTTTGTTCGTCATTTTTATTGACTCATTCTTTCTCTGCTAGAGTGCAAAATTCAAATATCTGGATGACTATGAGAAACCCAATGTTTTGACGGTTACTTACACAAAATAAGCAGGGTAAAAGTGTCGCCGAATTAGATAAAACTAAATGTAATCAAATAAAAATGTGGGGAAAATCAGCAAGTGTATATAAATTCCAGCTTTGCATTTCGATCTTTTTCTTTATTATCTCTTTTTCATTCAACATTCTATCGTCATCATGGCTGTTACATTTCCCAAGCATCTAAAGCCCATCGAGCCTCAAGGAGCCACCTTATTGCAGCAAGAGCGTGCCAATGCCACCTTTAAATCAAGCGAATTGATGGAATACATCTACGGCAAGCAGTACCTCGAGACAAGAGACCGCATCTTGCACATTCTTCAAAATGACCCTATCCTTGGTGACAAGTCGCACCGCTACTACAATGGAAGAGACTTTCGCTTTAAAAAGTCGTTGGCTGCCGCAAAGAGAATGGCTGAACTCGTCAGGTACATGGAACAACTGGGTTTGCAATTAAAGTGAGGGTATTCATGCATCTTGATAGAGAGCACAAGTGGACCGATGAAGAGTTTGGTATTGCTGAGTTCTTGTTTGACGAACCCAGCGCTGTAAGTAGACAAACCGTGTTGTTGGAGCAACGGCACTCATGCACTACTCCATAGTTCCGTCTTCACCGTAGCATGTTTATGCCTACCATCTTGAATCAAGGTACTGAGGAGCAAAAGAAATTGTACCTGGAGCCTGCCATGAGATACGAAATCATCGGTTGCTATGCTCAAACAGAGCTTGGCCATGGATCCAACGTGCGTGGCTTGGAGACGACAGCTACTTATCACCCAGAAACACAAACATTTGTCTTCAACTCGCCTACGTTGACTTCATCAAAATGGTGGATCGGTGGTCTCGGTGTGGCTGCCAACCATGCTATCGTCATGGCTCGCCTAATCAGCAACGGAAAAGATCACGGACCTCACCCTTTTATCGTGCAGATCAGAAACTTGGAAAACCATCAACCTTTGGAGGGTATCACTGTAGGCGACATTGGTCCCAAATTTGGATTTAATACGGTTGACAATGGCTTTATCCTATTCGATCATGTGCATGTGCCACATATTGCCCTGCTGGCTCGTTATTCCAGCATCAACAAAATCACAGGCGAGTATGTGACGCCACCCAACTCTAAATTGGCTTATGGCACCATGGTGTTTGTGCGCGCAAACATTGTTCTTGGTAAGTTACCTTACATCAGCGCAAGAACGGAGGGCTGCTGACTAACGCATGAATTCAAAGAATCTCGTTATGTGCTTGCAAGAGCTGCTACCGTTGCTGTTCGTTATTCTGCTATTCGTAGTCAAGGCTCAGATGCTGCCAATCCCAAACAGGTGACAGCTGCCGATGGATCTGTCAAGACGGTTGAAACACCTGTATTGGACTACACTATGCAACAGTACAGATTGTTCCCTATCATTGCTCAAGCCTACGCATGCCATTTTACTGGTCAAGAAATGCATCGCATGTACTATGAAAATCAAGAAAAGATGGCTCAAGGTGATTTCTCCTACCTAGCTGATCTTCATGCTTCTTCTTCTGGATTGAAGAGTTTGACGACCACGTTGGCTGTCTCTGCGATTGAAGATTGTCGTCGTGCTTGTGGTGGTCACGGCTACTCTTTGTTCTCTGGCCTTGGCCAATTCTATCAAGATTACCTTCCCAAGGCTACCGTAAGTTGACTAGAATATCCATGCACGCTCATTCAGCTAATCGTGTTTCTGTAGTGGGAAGGCGACAATTACTTGCTGACTCAACAAACTGCTCGCTACTTGCTCAAGACAATGAGATCTGTGCGTGCTGGTAAAATCAATGACAAGAACGCTACCTTCTCTTCACAGTATATTTCAGAGTATCTCTCTAATCCTCAGGCTCGCTGTCCTTTCACATCGGTCCAAGATTTGAGCAACCCTGAAGCATTGCTATCCGCCTTCAAATTCCGTGCTGCTTTCCTTGTTGAAAAGGCTATTTATGCCATCGATGTAGAGCAAACTACTTGGAACGACATGTTGGTTGAAATCTACAGAATCTCGCGTGCACATTGCCAACTATTGATGGTCTCTAATTTTGTGAAGGCTGTGTTCAATGACAGTGCTATGGCGAAATCAGATATGGGTAGAGCACTTCAGCGTGTCGCTATTCTCTTTTGTCTTTCCACGCTGGAACAAGAGGCTGCTGATTTCTTGACCTCGGGCTATCTCTCGCCTGACCAAGCATTGATGATCAAGCAACACACCATTGCTGTTCTCAAATCCATTCGTCCTGATGTCGTTGCTCTTGTCGATGCCTTTGGTTTCCCTGATTATCTCTTAAACTCGGCTTTGGGCGAAAATAATGGTGATGTCTATGAAAAGATGACAGCCATGGCTGAAAAAGAACCCCTCAATCAAAGCAAGGTGGCTGATGGCTATGAGGATTATATTCGTCCTCTCATTCACAGTGGTAAAAGTGCTTGGAAGATTGATCAAAAGGGTGTAGCTAGACTTTAGATAAGATGTATATAAGATTAGTAAGTGTATATTGTAAAATCATAAAATAAAAATACAACAGCAAACAAAATCATGGGTATGCTTATTGCAGATTCAACTTGTGTATACTTGATTGCCTATCTGCACACTACCATCCGACAATTACTCTGCCAATATACACTAGAATCTTACTTTTCGGCTCTTCACTGTTGCATAAGCGTACTGCAGCTGTAAATCAGACTCTTATACAGCGTTATACATCTGTGTTGATGGACACCTTCCATATACAAGCACACAACACGCTTTCATTATCAAGCATCATAATTTGCATAAATCTTATGGAATATATTTTGTTAAAATCAAATCGAATTGTCATGCCTCCTATTCAAGCTAGAAACTGTGTGATCTGTAGAGTTGATCTACCTGAAGATTACAATTTTCGAAAATCTGATTCATGTCGAGTAAATAGAGAAATTCGATAAATACATCAAAAGAAATGAAAAAAAAAAAAGCTGCATTGAGGCCACTCAGAATACCAAGAGCACCAAGAGCACCTGCTGCTTTCATTTCAGAGCTAAGAAGAATACGACCGCATTATCTCCAAGAACATAATACTGCATTTAATTCAACACTTGATAGTACTGGTTTACAGGGAGAGTTTACCGTACTGAAGCAAAGGTGTAAAACCATAATGTACAAGCAGCAAATTCGGTTTTTCATTTCCATTGTTAATAAGCTTACCAGCAACATATTGCAAAAAATGTTGACAGCATTGAGCAGAGGAAAGAGGGCAGAAACAACAGTGGTTTTCGTTGATTGATTGTAAAATCATTAATCTCATATGAGCCAGGCCAGACAGATGCCTTGAGACTCAGGTTCCATATTAGAGTTGTAAAGTGCAAAAGGACTGAACATTTATTATAATATGATATTAATTCAAAATGTTTCTCTCAATCCAGGGCAGCCCTTGAAATTGTTTTCATGATACATTGATATAGAGAATTTCGACATTTTGACCCAAATCATCATTTCAAACTTTCATCAATTGCTCTAAAACCTCGGTCAAAACATCTTTTTTGATTGTCTCCATTGGATGCGCCTTGCAAAGTGCTCCAAGAAAGCATAAGGAAGTATAGGATGATCATCACTATATCATAGTCGAATCATACAAAATAGATCAATCAGATCGTTTTAAACAGAATTTTAGCCAATCTATAGCAGATATATATCGCGGGATTTGAATTATACGGCAGGATAGTCGAAATGCATCTCTCATAAATACAAGCGATGTTTCTGAAGCTAATAAGTAAAAGGTCATGGTTTATCCATATATAAGCTACTATGCGATCAATTACTAGTCGTTAAATTATTATATGAATTTGAGTCTAAAGTGAGAATAAAAGATAATAATATTCATCAATTTTACTCGTCATCTTCCTCCTCTTCTTCATCTTCTTCTTTATCTTCTTCATCTTTTTTTTTCTCCCTCCTCTTCCTCCTCTTTCGATTCATCTTGGTCACCGTCTACTTTTTTATCATCGTTCTTGAAGTGGTGGTGTGATTCATCCTCACAGTTTTCCTCATCTTTGTGGTGATGGTAATGTGATTCATCCTCACAATCTCCTTCGTTACCATGACGATGATGGTGATGATGCTTCTTATGATCGCCTGCTTGAGTGCATTCATCAGTAATGTCTTAGCCGGGTTCCCTAGATGACGATGAGCTTGGTTTCAACTTTGATGGCTCTGGCAATAGCGAGTTTGAGTTTGAAGAAGATTGTGAGTCTGACTCAGAACTATCAATGCTACCGGTATGCTCTACAAAGGTATAACGATCGATAATTGTGCAAAACAGTAGCCTATAGCAAACTAACCTGTCTCAGTGACATTCAAAGTAACCGTTTCATAAGCAGTAATGTATATGGTTGGATGCTCTGTAATGGTAGTCGATGTTGGACAAGGCACTTGGATGATATTAGTATTTGTATTGGTGATTGCAGTTGCTTGTAATTCAGTAATAGTCGATATTTCCTCTTCAACGGTATAGGTGATATGTATCTCAGTATGCGTATTGGTCAATGTGGAAGTAGTCTCTGTTGTGGTGGTGGTATCATCTTCTATAAATGTGATGTAGTATCCTGGCTTGAATTGCTTGGTAGTGTCTGTAACTGTCAGATGCACGGTTATGTAATGGGTGGAATCAACATACACAGTCGTCTATGAATCTGTTGGTAGTGTCACTGTAACCGTATCCTGCAAAGTAGATGTCTCTTCAGCTATTGTTGTCTCTGTTATTGTTACACTGTGAGTCGTGATAGGTGGGCGCGTGTAATTGGTAGGTGGATAACAAACAAATTTTCCTTGACAAATATCGTCTGTATCGTTGTAATTTAATATATCGGTTCCACCTGCAGGGTTTCGTCATTGATATGCTTTACCGACTACCTGTCCTGCAAATCCACCAATATCGCCATCCGACAAAACCACTAAATACGATAATTTAGTACCTGATACTTTGTGCATTTCTCTCGTACTCATTTTTAGGTGCAAATGTCAAACCAGCCAAATACCCTTTTCCGTCACGCACCACTTCTGCTTGCCCTGTTGGATTATAAACGCCACTATTTGGTGCATTGGGATTGCCACTCACTGGGTAAAAGTGATAAATAGCTCTGCATGGCTGCACGCCAGCGCCTATGCTGTCCGTAGTTAGATAGATGAAGAAATTTTCCCATACTGGGATCTATTGAAGAGTGGTGAGTTTGTACGGCAATTTAGCCAAATGCATACACTAAAATATTTACACTAAAGACGATGATCGAGTGGTCCGGATAGGCTCGATTTTTGGGCCCTTTCCATGCTGCTCCATTGAATAGAACGACACCGGCTTCAGAATCAGTTACCAATCCTACAGGACATGACTGATAAGTGCATGGTGAAAACTGCAGTTTATCGAATCTAGGGTCTGTGCAAGGGCTTGCATCGACCATGGTGCCGTCACTCTTGATTTGCAATGTAATGGGGGTGTGTGGTATAATTGAATAATTCTATGTAAATAACGAGTTAACATTGGTGATTATGGTTGCCAATGCGGCCACCATTGTCGAAAATGTCACAGGGCCAAAGTAGCCAGTTTGATATATCACGCAATTGGCGGATTCTTGCAAGACTGTAACTGTGGATGCTCTTGGGATGTAAGCATTGCCAATCAAAGCAATGTTGAGTTAGGTGCCAGTGGTAAAATCAATGACAAGACCGGTGTTGGAGATGATGTCTTCATTCTCAGGGCTGCAATCAACTGTGCTTTGACCATTAACAGAATAAAATTGGCCTATGAATTGCCCTTGAACGTAAAGCGGGCCAGATATGGAATGACCGCTACTAACAACAAAGGTTTCCAGTACAATGGCATTGAAATGTTGCAACTATAGAATGCATTGACTAAGTAAAATGCTTCATTGAAGGCTTTTGTAACTTACCCAAGCCATGACAACTTCTGGAAGGTCACTTAAACAATTCTGATCCACACTAGAATTGGTGGAAATAGCATTTCCTGTGTCAGCAAAAATACCAGCATTTGCAGCCAGTCTCATCAATCCTGCACTGTCTTGACAGTAGACCAGAGCGGACTCGAGTAGAATCAGCCCTGCTACAGTGATGGTGATGAATTTCATAGTATTAATCGAGGGAGCAAGGAAAAAGAGAGATAGATGGAGATCGTACGTCAAAACGCTTCAATTTAAGTAGCATTGCATTTTATGAGAAATATGTTTATATACAGATAATGCTGCAATTTTGTTTATATAGACTTTAAACGATCAATTGGATCAAAGGGGCTTGTTTTTAGTCTAGCGGTGCCTTTAGAAAGAGAGACATAGTATCAATCCCTATTTTCTTTTAGTGTAAGGCTACTCTTGGTCGCAGAACTTGAACTCTTTTGCTTTCATCACCGTTATGGCTGATATACCATGTTGTTGCAAGCTAAAGCAATGAGCCTATAACTACTGCTCAAAGTAATGATGCGCTAATTTTGTTCATTAGCATAGAAATAATGCGAGGCAAGAGAGAGAAAGAGAGAGAGAGAGAGAACCGATTCATCAAACAACAACCAAAGTTGTGGAAACTAAAGATGATGAAAGCGTTTTGAGAAGACTTGGAGCTATTTCAGGGGTAACTACGTTCTTCAAAAGCTGCTTATTTATTCTACAGTCATACCCATCAAGATCCATAAGAATGAATGCTGGTTAAATGGATAAATAATCAATTTTGAATTTGTATTCCTGTTATAAATGTTGAAGCATTCAAATGGGAATCGTAAATACAAAGGATGACAATGACTGGTAAAGAACTCGTATAGTCTTTAAAATTGTTTGATTCAACGCTTGGTGGCATAGTTGCCAATGAAATTGTAGCTGAATGGATGCTTTCTAATAAGCTTGATATGGCTACTTGGAACTTTCCTACAGGCGTGCCTTTCAATCAGTGGAGATATGTCTTATCCAACATTAGCAATAAAGTTTTCCTGTGTAAGAAAGGGGAAATAAAAAGGGATTTGATTTGATGGCAATCCTCATCCTTGTACGAGCATAGAAATTGAACACCATTTTTGACTCTAGAAAAAAAAAACTGGGTTTCCTCTTTCTTTCTTTCCTTCTCTCTTTTTCGCTTTCTTCACATCTCACTGCATGGGAAAGCAAAAGGACACGCTGCTGTATCGCTTAAAGACATTGTATGATTCAGGTGGGTCCTATCATCGATTGGGCGACAATGTCATTGTCGCTGTAAACTCGAACCATCTCCAGCAACACAACCAAAATCAACACCAACAATCGCTGGACTATGTTGCCGAGTACAAGAATACGGCGCTCACTGTACAGTTGCCATTTCACCTGTATCAGACTGTAAATCAATGCTATCTCCACATGAGGAGAACAGCCGTAGATCAATCTATTCTATTAAGGTTTGTTTATTGTACGTCTCCTATTATATTGCACTTTATTAACTGCTCTTTAAATTGTCTCTAGTGGTGATACAGGCAGTGGAAAATCAGAGACCTGCAATACGATTCTGTCACATTTGATTTCGCTCAGTGTGCACAAAAAAGAGTCCAAACTGCAGACACAGATACTGCATGTACAACCCATATTGAACGCATTTGGACATGCAAAAACATCCACAAACCAAAACGCATCCAGATTTGGAAAGTACATGGAGATCCAATTCAACGAGAGAGGCAGAATGATTGGATGTAAGGTGCTCAACTACTTGCTGGATAAGCAGAGAGTCGTGCTTGGACAACAGAAAAGACACGGATACAACTTTCACATATTCTACATGCTGCTATGTGGCGCCAGTGTGGAGGACAAAGCAGCATTGTCACTGACAGACTACACTGCATACAAATACACCAAGGCAACATCACCACCCTTCGCCAAAGACCAGATCAGCGAGGACTATCAGGCACTGCTGGCTTCGTTGAAGCACATGGGATTGGGCAAGCGACATCAGACCCGCATCATGCAGCTGATTGCCTCTCTGCTACATTTGGGCCAGCTTCAGTTTGTGGACGATACAACCATGCAAGAAGCAGCCTATGTCAAGAATGCAGAGACATTGGGGTTGGTGTCTGATTTCCTCGGTATTGACCCAAGAGCACTGGAGAATGTGCTGACTTACAAGACGCAAATGATCAAAAAGGACATTACAACACTCATTTTGAATGCGGTTCAAGCAGCAGCCCAGCGCGATGAACTGGTCACTGTATTATACTCACTGCTATTCACCTGGCTTATTGAGCAAATCAACAGCAAACTCTGCAGCGATGAGATCCATAATTTTATCGGCATTCTGGATCTCCCTGGAGCACAACTCAATACACAAACACCATCAGGCCTGGGGCAGCTCTGTTTGAACTACAGCAATGAGCGGCTGCAGAGCTACATATCCAAGTATATTTTTGAGAGTAGCGGCGTAGAGTACAGTGCAGATGGTTTAGACTACTTGCTAGTGAAATCACCGTTAAATGCGTCATGCATTGATTTGTTTGATCAACCTCGACACGGCATCATTGATCTCGTCAACAGTTTCTCAAAGAAATCCATCACTAACACAGCGGGAGGACGCACCGATGATCAGGCCATGCTAGATACCATTACCAAATACCAAACAGGCAACGAATCATTCTCTGCAAGAAAATCAGATACAGGCGCACCTTTATTCGCAATTCAACACTTTGGTGGATCTCAAGTATACCAACCAGAAGGATTCATAGAGACCAACCGAGATGCATTAAACACAGACTTTGTATCCTTGTTTAGAGGAGGGTCCGACCTACCACCTTCTATCAACTCCTTCCTAGTGCGTCTATTTGAGGATAAATCCATCACTACGGAATCACACCCCAAAGACACAGATGCCATCTTGAATGCACAGCAAATCAACAAGCCCAATCGCATGCCATCCATGAGACGCTCCAAGTCCACCAAGCGCAACAAAGCAGAGCAAGAGGAGGATACGGCCAAGAGCGTTTCCAAGGCCAAAAAAGTGGTGCCAGCTGTGCTGGCCCAACTGAGATCTTCTTTGGACGATTTATTTGCTACGCTGGATGAAACGATACCTTGGTTTGTATACTGTATTTGTCCCAATCAAAAGGCCGCTTTAGGATCGACAACAGCCAACTTTGATTCTCAACTGGTACAGACGCAGGTGCAAGCATTGGCACTCGAGGCAGTCGAACAACGATTGAAATCAGGCTATTTTAACAATATATTCCAGCATGAAGAGTTTTGTGAGCGATATGCAGATATTCTGGCTGCTATAGGCGTGGATGAAAATAGACTGCCTAGGGCCAAATGTCAAGCAGCAGTGGATATATTCGGTTGGCCTAGTCGTTCTGAGAATGCTGTGATTGGCAATTCAAAGGTATTTTAGGTTGCTTTTTGGATGATCACTGCTGCGCATATAGACTAACACGCTCAACATAGATATTTTTGAATGATGCAGCTTGGAGAGATCTAGAAGATAGATTGCGAGTGGCTGAAAAGGAAGATCAGAAAAAGCAGAGGGAACTGACAAGAGAGTCTCGAGCTATTTTAAATGCCAAAAATGAGGGAATGGAGAACTTGATGTCTCGCAACATGAGCCAAGATGAATACTCGCATGCATCTTCTGGTTCCAATGCAGATCTGCTTATATCGACTGGCCATTCGGACGCTTCTGCTGGTCAACACAATGATCGTCGTGCTATGGCTGCTGCCAATGCTGCAGCAATGGGCTTGCCTCCACCACGTGGTTTTACAGATCAAGGCCATAATCGCATGTCTTCTTCCTACAGCTCTTATTCGGAAGATCAGCGCTCATTTGTCTCGTCTCAAGATGTCCATCGTCAGCAACACACAAACGACACGGATTCACAGACAGTGTCAGACAATTACGACTCGGCTAGTGCATCTGGTTATTTGGAGATGAAAACCATGCCAATCGCAGTGGATGAAGCACCAGCCTACCAAGAAGAAGAGCATAAAGTCACTGCTGTGCGTAAGCGATGGCTGTTCTTTGTCTGGGCAATGACTTGGTGGGTGCCAACACCCTTCATGGTGTGGTGTGGACGTATGAAACGCAAGGATATCCAGATTGCATGGCGAGAAAAGTTTGCCCTGTGCATTATCATCTTTTTTATGTCTGGTTTCATCATCTGGTTCTTGGTGTTCTTTGGAAAGCTGATCTGTCCTCACCAAGACGTGTTCTCGCAATCTGAACTGCAATCGCACAGTAGTGGAGGCGATGCATATGTAGCTATTCGCGGTGAAGTATTCGATCTGACTCGATTTGCGCCTCATCACTGGGCAAGTCAAGTGATCCCATCCGGTGCCATCACTCAGTACGGCGGCAAAGATGCCAGCGATCTCTTCCCGGTGCAAGTATCTGCTCTCTGTGAGGGTGTCAATGGCACAGTTTCTGACTACGTCTCACTGGATTACCACTTTAATCTGACTGATGCCAACTCCAACTATCATGATTTCAGAGCGTGGACAGACGATCCCCGGCCAGATTGGTATTTCGAAAAGCTAGTCTATTTGCGCAAGAATTACAAGGTCGGCACCATGGGATACACAAACAAAGATGTATACAGACAGGCAAACAACCCCGTAGATATGGGAGGCGTTCAAAGCACGCGTGTGTGGGGCATCTTGAACGAAAGCATCTATGATTTGACCTACTACGTCAGTGGTGGTAGACGAGTGCAAGTGCCCGTTGGCATGGAAACGCCTACTGATGTGGATACCAACTACATGTCAGACGTGGTGGTAAACTTATTTAGACAAAAGTCGGGTGAGGATATCACTGCTTACTGGAATGCATTGCCCTTGGACCCTGAGGTTCGTCGTCGTCAAGAGGTATGCTTAAAGAATCTGTTCTACGTGGGGTCCCTAGACCAACGGAATTCTGCAAAATGTATCTTTTCAGAGTACCTTTTGCTGATTGTCACTGTATTTCTGTGTCTTGTGATTGTATTCAAATTCTTGGCCGCTTTACAATTCTCCACCAAGCGAGATCCGCAAAATCACGATAAATTTGTCATTTGTCAAGTGCCTTGCTACACGGAAGGCGAAGAAGAGCTGAAAAAGACAATTGACTCCATTGCTGCACTCAAGTACGATGACAAGAGAAAGCTGCTATTCATCATCTGTGATGGCATGATTGTAGGCGGTGGTAATGATAGACCTACACCACGCATTGTGCTGGACATCCTGGGGGTAGATCCGTATGTGGATCCTGAAGCGTTGTCATTCTTGTCGGTGGGTGAAGGTCAAAAACAACACAACATGGCCAAAGTCTATTCTGGTTTATACGAGTGTCAGGGACATGTTGTGCCTTACATTGTCATCTCCAAAGTGGGTAAAGCGAGCGAGCGTCAAAAGCCTGGCAACCGTGGCAAGAGAGATTCGCAGCTGATTCTGATGCGATTCCTCAACAAGGTTCACTTCAATGCGCCCATGACACCCATGGAATTGGAAATCTATCACCAAATCAAAAATATCATAGGCGTGAATCCCAGCTTTTATGAATTTGTGCTCATGGTGGATGCAGACACAGAAGTGGAGTCTGATGGCTTGAATCGCTTAGTCAGCTCGTTTGTACATGATGCAAAAATCATTGGTTTGTGTGGCGAAACAAAGCTATCCAACGAAAAGGACACCTGGGTTACCATGATCCAAGTTTATGAATACTTTATCTCGCATTACATGATCAAGGCCTTTGAATCGCTGTTTGGCTCAGTCACCTGTCTGCCTGGTTGCTTCTGCATGTATCGTGTGCGTTCACCAACCAAAAACCAGCCTCTGCTCGTGTCAAACCAAGTCATTGAAGACTATCAGATCAATCGAGTGGACACGCTGCACAAGAAGAATCTGCTTCATCTGGGAGAAGATCGTTATCTGACCACACTGATCCTCAAGCATTTCCCCACCTACAAGACCAAGTTTGTGCCTGATGCTAAATGTGCCACCAATGCGCCAGATCAATGGTCTGTGCTCTTGTCGCAGCGTCGTCGTTGGATCAACTCCACCATCCACAACCTCGGTGAACTAGTCTTTCTGCCTCAATTGTGTGGTTTTTGCTGTTTCTCGATGCGGTTTGTCGTGATGCTGGATTTGATCAGTACGTTAGTGCAGCCTGCTATTGTCGGCTATCTGGTGTTTTTGATCTACACGCTTGCTACTTCCTCAAGCAATGTGCCTATCATGTCCATCATCACTATCGCAGGTGTCTATGGTCTGCAGGCCATCATTTTTATCCTGCACAAAAAGTGGGAGCATATCATCTGGATGATTGTGTCTATTTTTGCCATCCCTGTATTCTCGCTGTACATTCCAATCTATGCGTACTGGCATTTTGATGACTTTTCATGGGGTAATACTCGTGTCGTGCTTGGTGATAAAGGCAAGAAGCTGGTTGTGGGTGCTGATGAAGGTAAATTTGATCCAAATTCGATCCCTACCATGTCTTGGGATGAGTATGAAGAGGGATTGTATACCGAAGATTATCAGCAAAACGACACAGCATCTGTGGGATCGAAAGGCTCTGGATACTCTCATAGTGGTAGCTATATCAGCTACAGAAGCCACGGCAACAGTAGACAACATCTACCTCAACATGCACCACCACAGCAGCCTCCACCTGTCAACTATCCCTCAAGCCAATATTCCTACAACATGAATTCAAGTCAATCCTACAGCACTTTACCCATTCAACCCAATCCTCATGCTTCTTTTATTTATTCCAATCCAAATCCGCATTACTCAATGATGAGTGGTCTCAATAATCAGCAACAATTTGCATACAACAACCCTTCATCTCCACTGCATCGTTACGAGTAAAATTAATACTACTACTACATTACAAGATCAAACTAGATAGCTCGCAATAAAAATGCACATGCTTGCGCACAACCTATCAAACTAAGAGATATGAGTCAATCTACCTATCATCACTGTTGTATTTCTTGATAATGGGGCATTGTTTCACCAGCATTGCATGAAGAGCCAAGATGGGCTTACGAGTCACTTTTAATACGACGCCCAAGCTAGCTTTGTAATGGTTTGATTGGATGTAAATTGCAAGATTTAGCCTTTCAACTTGTTTATTGCCGATTATCATTGCAATGAGTGAAGCTACAAAGTACAATTTGAAAAACCCAGGTAAGCTCATCAGCATGGATCATACCTTAAATGAGCTTTGGTTGACTGTATCATACAGGCGTAAAGAGAATTATGCAAGAGGCTAAAGAATTGGCGAGTGAGAGCACCTATGAATATAGCGCTCATCCACTGGAGGTAGGCTACTATGGATACACATGCCATTTTTGTCATTTTCATGCTAATCATAATGAAAAACAGGACAATATATTTGAATGGCATTTCACAGTACGTGGACCCAAAGATACAGATTTTGAAGACGGAAGGTTGGTGCATTGACAAATGAGGATGAGCACGCCTTGCTCAATTGGCATATTGCGCATTTAGATACCATGGACGTATCATTTTACCAAATGAATATCCTTTCAAGCCGCCCGAGTTGATTTTTTTGACAGTAAGTAGGTGGTGCTTTGTAATAATGGGGTCATATCACTGATGCTTTGTTACGCAGCCAAATGGTAGATTTGAATTAAACACAAAAATCTGCCTTAGCATTACTGGATTTCACCCAGAGTTTTGGCAGCCAGCATGGGGAAGTAAGTTGTAGCTACAGTTTGGTTTTGGGTGGAATATTCAATTAAGCCATTGTGCTTCAGTTCGAACAGTATTGCTGGCAGTGATTGGGTTCTTTCCTACAGAGGCAAGAGGGGCTATCGGTGGGTTAGATTACTCTAAAGAGGAACGTCGTCGATTGGCAAAAAAGTAAGCATTCCCATCAGTGCTGCTACAAGGATATACATTAAATGCATCTACTAGATCCATTGGTTGGGTCTGTCCTGTTTGCGACGTAAATACAAAAGATGCATTGAGTGATACACCACCAGATGTTCCTAGCAAAAAGGAACAATTGCCAGATTTTATGATCACATATAAACCCGAACGTGTAGAAGATCAAAAAGAGCAAGAAGATTCAACAAAAGCTGCTGGATCGAGTCAAAGCAGCAATAGTGATAATCTGCAACTGTCAACAGCAGTTGAGGATTTGGAATCAAAGAATGATGAAAAGGGTTCAATCAATGATCCAGCATCCTCAGCGACAACAGCCGAAAATGTACCTCCTCAGATCATTCAACCTCAAGTCATGGCTGTCAATGGCATGTCTACGAATACCAACAGCAGCGATGCTAGCACTCCTCAGCAAAGTGATGCATCTCCTTTATGGTTAGATGCACTGATTGCAGGGCTTGTCTCGTTTATTGTAGTTCTTGTTTGTCGTAGATATTTTTTCTAAACAAATATACCCTTTCAATTTAAACTTCTTCTGACAAAAAAGTTTGGCATCGTAGTGTTTCCATGCCATGAAGAGTCCGCTGTTCAGCCAACGTTTGATAACATGTTTGCTTTGCAAAGGCATTTGCACGCATTGTAGACAACACATCAGTGTGGAAGGTTCAAGAATGATCAGCGATTCATCTCACACTGAAGAAGGATCAACTCCAAGACCTAAATGCATGATTATTAGAAGGGCATTGAGTTTGCCACCCAGCCCCACCAACCACCAAAATTAATTTCAACGCCGACTCGCTATCTGTTCCAGATTGATCAAATTTAACAGTTTTCGACTTGAGCGAACTATTTTGCCAGATTCGGCTATATACAATGTGATGGTCATTCGATGCTTCCGAATACACTCCTGGGGTGCTTTTCAAAACGCACCTAATGGTACCAGGCAAAATGAATGTTTTAAATGAACTTTTTGAACAATTTATGAAAACACTAAATGTGATTTTTGGCGAAAATGTCGAGATTTTGCATACAAAGATCTCAAAAATACAATTTCAGGAGTTGCTTTGGACTGAGAGAAGCATTTTGAGTTAATATGTGCCATAATAAAAGCCTTCATTTTTAAGGCCAAAAACGCGATCGTTTAGTTTTCAATAAAAACTATGAGGGGGGTACCTCATGGTTAAAAGTCGATTTTTGACGATTTTTTTTTTTTGATCCCAAAAAATTGAGCAAAGGTGTCAGGAAGTCAGTGCTGGATGAGAGCAATTGTTTGGCGCTATTCCGGCAGACTAAACCCGCCTCTAACGCGAGAAATCAAGGCTCAAATGCATCCAGATTCAGCTGTGATTCGCACACTTTTAGATAGCAAAAGGCATTGCAGCTATGCTGTCTACAAATACATGAACTCTCTTTTCACTGTAGAGGCATCGAGCATCGTAGAAGTGCCAAACGCACAGCTACAAAGTGTTTATGAGCATTTCTCACGGATAGGCGAAAGCTTCGCTTCAATTTTTTAGTGTTAGTAGTAAAAACCAGACTATTAACTGCCTGAGACTCTTTTGAAGCATGAAGTTTCATGGAAGATGTTGCATAGATTACTCATTGTTATCACTTTTCATGATATATACACCATTTACTTTGTGAAGTTTGAAATAGTGTCCTTGCATTCATTCGCTCAAGCTCCTCTTTGCATGCATGATCTTTAGCAATGTATCGTAGCATCGTGCGTTGTTCATTGAATGAGGGAAAAAGTCGCACGGGCTCTGTACCTTTGCCTACTATGTAAAAAGAGAGCACACAAGATATCACCTGAGCTTCAAAAAGCAATGATGAGTCCTCACTATATCCTTTTGTCCTCTGAGTGAATTTCTTCCCCTTTTTTCTCCTCTTCCCCTTTCTTTCTTTCTCACTATACACTTCTTCTTACTCTGTAGTAATAATCTGATTTTGTTTTAATTTCAAATCATGGCAAATTTCTTGTTTAATAGTAATGAGATGTTTACAAATGATAATTTGAATCAAAATCTGGTCATTGATACTTCAAGAGCCACTTTATGGTAACATGAAATCTGCTGCTGATAATGACGAAAAAGGGGTATTTATTCATTCCTCTTTTATAGGATGGGTGATCTTGATCCATGGATGGACGAGACATTTCTCAAGCAGCTTTGGCTCTCATACGGTGAGAATGTCATTGTAAAGCTAATTCGAGATAAAAGAACAAGGTACGCAGCACACACACACACACACACTCACACTCTCACACACACTCTCACTCTCACTCTCACTCTCACTCTCACTCTCACTCTCACACACACAATGCTTTTATATCATCAACTCATTTTTTTTTTTTTTTTTTTTTTTTTTTTTTGTACAGTATCAGCTGCGGATATGCATTTATCGGATTTTCGTCTACCTTATCAGCCCAGAAAGCATTGACAACTATTCATGGCACTAGAATTCCAAATTCACTCAAGACATTCAGACTAAATTGGGCTTCAGGCGGTGGCATTTGTGATAGAAAGTATGCTGAATGCGATTATATACATTACATAGTCAGATGCTCATTGTACAAAAATAGAGAGGATCGTGCACCGGAATATAGCTTATTTGTAGGTGATCTGAGCAACGATATCGACGAAACATTCCTCTTGGTACAGTAGATGAACCATTTTACAGATGTATCTGCAGCTTGTCATTAACCTCCTGTGTAGTCATTGTTTCGTGCAAAATATCCCTCTTGCCATTCCGCCAAAATTATGACAGATCCAGTAACTGGTTTGTCCAGAGGCTATGGATTCGTTCGCTTCTTGAATCAGCTTGAACAACAACAGGCTGTCCAGGAAATGAACGGTATTATCTGTGATAGTAGACCGATTCGAGTCTCATTTGCCACTCCAAAGACAAACAACGCCCATCGATTTGACTCAAATCAGCATCAGCAACAGCAACAGCAGCAACAGCAGCAGCAGCACCAACAGCAAAATGCAAGATACATTCAATTGGCATTGCAGGCACCTGCTCTAGTTCATCAACCTACTGACCCCACCAATACTACTGTATTTGTAGGCGGTTTGTCTTCTCCTGTCACTGAAGAGGAATTGGGCCAGTACTTTTCGCCATTCGGTGAGGTGACTTATGTAAAGGTACCACCTGGTAAAGGATGCGGGTTTGTTCAGTACGTTTCTCGTCAATCAGCAGAGCAAGCCATTGAGAGAATGAATGGATTTTTGATTGGGACATCTAGAATCAGATTATCATGGGGTCGATCTCAAGCTGATAAAACTTTTTCGTCTGCTTCTACTGCCACCACTACAGAATTGAAGAGTCCATCTACCAATACAACATTATCGTCATCCACCAACAACACGAACCCTATGCTTCAGCTCTCTTCCTTCCGTCCGTTATCACCACCTTCCAGCCTGTTGTATGATCATCCGCAATCATTATTTCGATCTGCTAGTACTGGAAGTGTAGATTACCCCACGAATAACGATTGGCTAATGGGTATTACCAATGACTACCCAAAGGACGGTAATAGCAACCAGTATCGACCCAAAGAATGGCATTTGGATGATTTGCTTTACTAATTTACCTCCTGTTCTCTCTACCATCATTATATATACTTCACAATATACTCCATCACACACAGTGTATCCTTTTATTAGCTCTCTTAGTTTATTATTTATCACTTTTATCTATTACCTACTACTATTACTACCACTATTATCTCCAATATCTTATATGTCTTTTTTTTTTTTCTTTTCTCATTCCACATCCCCTTTCTTTTGCTTATTTTTTTTTTCTTTTATCTATGTATCAATAATATATAATAACGTGTCTCGATTTTGTTTAAAAATAAATTGCTTCTTTCATACACATTTTTCGTACACATGTCATAATACTTATATAGATGGATGTAGGCGAAATTTAGAATCCTTGCGATTGAGCCAGTATGAGGAGCCAGGCTGATCAAATGTTGCGATTCAAATGCCATGACAGCTGAAAGGTTTTTCATGCATTACCATGTTCGATCTACGACTGAAGTACTGTACAGGACTTGTGTAAGATCTACAGCGACTTTTTGAGATGCTATCATTGCAAAAGACATCTTTTAGGGAAAAACCCTAAGAAACAAAAGTATTCGGGCTAATCAATTGTTCTTTCAGCTCCATTGTCCCCATTTAATCAGCATCGCAATCATTATTGTCATCATCAGAAAGGCATTTGGGCCAGCCAGCAGCAGTGCCGCCGCTAAAATTGATTCAGACTCAGCTTATTTTTTTCTGTTCAAGATTGGACAGATGTTGTCTTTTTTCGACTTCTTTAATGTATTTTATGATATCCGACTATGTAAATCGTGATGATCACCCTACGCTTCCTAGTACATTCTTGAAGTACTTTTCAAGGCGCTTCCAATGGTGCTAACTGTTGTAAGTGGTTTGACTGAAATTATTGAGTAATTTAATAAAATTTGAAATGAGGTTTTTTTTAGCGAAAATAGCCAGATTTTGCCTATGAAAGCCTCATAACAGTGGTTTCATAGGTTGCTTTGGATTGAGAGAAACATTTTGATTTGATATATACCATAGTAAAAATCTTTATTTTCAAGGTGAAAAATGCGATCGTTTGATTTTCGATAAAAACCATGAGGGGTACCTTATGCTTTTTGGTCGTTTTTTGGTCATGTTTTTTTGGTCCTCAAAAGGCTGAGCAAAGGTGTCAGGAAGTTACTACTACTCGAATACAATTGTTTGGTGTCATTCCGGCGGCTCAGAAAGTCCTACATGTCAAGATATGAAGGCTTGAAAGCTGTCGAATTTGATTATGTTTTTGCAGTATAGCTTTTGTTTACACGGCATGAAACACGCCTTTGGTATCTGAAATATTCTGGAAGAGCAGTTCTGCAGCCTGTGAAACTTCTAGCTCAAAGAGGAGGCATATTGACTTTGGCAAAGCTAATTCATGCAAATTTTGACGCGTTATGTTATTGGGAAGCTTATTGATAATGAAAATGAAAAGCCAAATTTACTGCTTGGTTGCAATGGTTTTGCACGTTTGCTTCATTACGGTAGAATCCTCTTAAGGTCAATGTTATTAAATATTGCCTTGAAATCACAGATCACTCAATCCATAGCCAAATAACAGGCAAAATATCACTTGAATTAGATGCGTATCGTATGTTCTTGGGGGAGGGGCTTCTAACATTTGACTGGCTACGACTACGCTTTTGTGTTCATGTTGTCCAGTGTATATAATAGTGATGATGTTGTGATTTTAATAGAGTTTAATGTGCATACGATTTAACATATGATCGCAACACTGTGATAAAATGTGGTTTGATGCGATTATTCATCTTTCAGATAAACGACAAGATACAAAAAGAGTTTCTTTCATAGTGTTGGATGACGGAGAGGCGTCTTCCTTCGCATCATACCTAATTTTTTTTTAGAAGGCAAGGCATCCTAAAAGAATGAATGACGCTTGTTTTGCAGTTGAACTAAATCAAAGAGACACTACTTTCACTGTTATTGTTGCCTGTAATATTTTGAAGATTACACATTTGACTAGCATTGAACAATCTGATCGACAAATTTAATGTTGAATGTTTCAAGCAAATAAATTGCTCAACATGTCCCTTCAGATCAGTATGTATTGTCAGCGAAATCGAGTCGGATTTCTCATGAAACAGGGATTACTTGTATCACATCACCGACTTGCCAATGCCATGCTCACAAGTAAAACGTGCAGACAGATCATGTCAGTCTGAGTAATGTTCCCAGAACAGATGAGTGCTACTTCGAGATGTCGCAATCTCCAAATGTTAATTATTGTATGTAATCTAAAGGATTTGTTAGAACTCAATGTGGGTTACTATACATCTTTATGCATAGCCAATCTCTCGAATCAGAAATGTGCATTAAGCTTGATAGGTGTGCATAGCTTTCTCTTGACATTTCATAGGATTCAGATCCAGTTACCAAACGGTTTGGAATGAATAGTGTGGCATCTAGAGACAGATAAAAGCTACCATAGCATCAAGTATAATCGTTCAAAGCTGTGGTCAATGTCAAGCGCACTTGTGGCATGTACTATGCTTCCAATGCGCTTGATTTGAGTGCACAATCTTGGAGCAACCGTGGACCTAGAAACCAATGAAAAAATTGTACTCAAGTATAGTCACATAATTGGCTCTAGTATTGTCTATAAATCATCATGGCTCAAGACAAATTGCTGCTTTTTTCCATTATTACAACAATCTAATAACAGACATATGGCTCTTAAACGTTCTGATCGAAGAGAAGCTGACAAGGAAGATAACGATCCTCTCCATGACGAAGAAGAAGAAGAAGAAGAGGACGAAGACGAGGATGACGAGGATGCTGTAAATATATATAGATCTCATCATGGCACAATCAGTAGTTGTATTCTGACTATCTCACTTGTTAAAAGAGACCTACCAAGAGAAAGTTCAATCCCTTCATTGATGAAATGGCTATTGTAGACGACGATGAAGACGATGATGAGGATGACGAAGAATACGGCCGAGAAGGTACTGCAAGATGAACGCGCGATTTTGCACATCAGACAGTTAACATGAAATGATTTTCTATAAGCAGATGGATTCATCGAAGAGGAAAACGAAGAGTTGACGACTACGAAAACCACTGCTCGCCGTCATCTTGATTTGGACCGTAGAAGAAGAGAGATGGAAGGCATGGATGATGAGCAAGTAGCCGCCTTTTATGCAGAGAAATACGGTGGCCGTAGCAAACCACAGGCATTCAAGGACACAGAAGAAGTGCCTCAGCAATTGCTGTTGCCCAGTGTCAATGATCCCAACTTGTGGATGGTCAAGTGCAAAGTAAATGCGACACAACGAAACATTCCCTCGCTTGTAGTATTAATCACTCTGTATTGTAGCCCGGAAAAGAAAAGGATGTCATTTTTGGTTTGATGAAGCGATATTTTGACAGACAGAATGGACCTCATCCTTTGGACACATTCTCTGCATTTGCAAGAGAAACTCTCAAAGGCTATATTTATGTGGAAGCTCGTCGACAAGCACATGTTCAAGAGACACTCGCCAACATTCCCAATGTGTACATGTCTACATTGATGCTTGTGCCTATCAAAGACATGGTGGATTCTATCTCTGTGCAGAAAAAGGAAGTCGAGATCCCCTTGGGTGGCTGGGTGCGTGTCAAGCGTGGTACCTATGCGGGTGATCTAGCTCAAGTCATGGAAGTGAGCGACTCGCAAGATTCAGCTCGTGTCAAGGTGGTGCCCCGTTTGGACCTGGAGAGCAGTAGCAATGATGATGTCGCAGGAGGCAAGCGCAAGAAGGGTGTTAGGGCTCCTCCCAAGTTGTTCAACCCAGAAAGACTCGCCAACAGGTCCATCTCCAGTCTTCAAAAGAAGGGTCCCTACTGGGTCTACAATGGCGATCACTACCGTGATGGTTATCTTGAAAAGTACATGAAGGTGGCTACACTACAGATTGAAGATGTCAACCCTACTTTGGACGAAATTGCTCGTTTTGCTGGCAACGGCGAACTGACTGAAGATGGCGAGCGCTCCATTGATTTGACCTCCTTATCCAGCATGGCCATCAACAATGCACAGGCTTCGACTCTTTTCCAAAATGGCGATGTAGTCAGTGTGATTGAAGGTGATATGATTCACAGTTGGGGTACTGTGGAGCATGTCAATGATTCATCTATCACCGTATCGCTGGACATGGATGGCACAAAGAAGCGAGTAACCTTACCTGCCAAGCAACTGAGAAAGAAGTTCAAGGAAGGTGATCACGTCAAGGTTATTAACGGTCGTTTCAAGGACGAAAGCGGTATGGTGTTGAACATCCAGGATAATATCGTTACCTTGCTGTCAGATGCGTCTCTCAAGGAAGTGCGTGTGTTTGCCAAGGATCTGCGTGAGGCTGCTGAAGTTATGTTTGGTAAAACAGTGATTGGCAACTATGAGTTGCATGATTTGGTACAACTTGATTTCTATACGGTGGGTGTCATTGTCAAGGTCAATCGTGATTCCTTCCAAGTCCTGACTCAGAACGGCGAGATGCGTACTGTTCAGCCACATCAGATTACCAACAAGCGTGACAGCACCAAGGCTGTAGCAACAGATGCCAATGGTAACAGCATTCGCGATGGTGATACTGTCATGGAAGTAGGCGACAAGCGTAACTGCTCTGTTCTCCACTTGTACCGTCATTTGGTCTTCTTGCACTCGAGAGAGCACTCTGAGAACTTTGGCGTGTGGGTCACAAATACCCGTTCTATTGTCAGTGCCTCTACACGTGGTCGCGTTTTACCCAATCCCAAGACACAGAATCCTCAATTCAATGGTGGTTTTGGTGGCAGAGATGATGGTAGAGGTGGCCCTGATGCAAGAGGTGGTCGTGGTGGCCGTGGTGGTGGCCGTGGTGGATTCTTTGGCAGAGGTCGTGGCGGTAGAGACAATTTAGTTGCTAAAACTGTGCGTATTTCTCAGGGTCCTCACAAGGGTTACATTGGTATCGTCAAGGATGCTACTGATACACAAGCTCGTGTTGAACTCCACACCAACTCCAAGGTGCTCAACATTGATAAATCACACCTCATGATCTTGGACTCGCAAGGCAATGCTTTGGCTCCAGCTGCACCCGATCGCTTCGACTCTCCTTCCAGCAACGGTGGATTTGCACGACCTATGGGTACACCTAGCCGATATGGTGACGGTGCCATGACACCAATGCACAATGCATCCTCTGGTTCTCGCACTCCTGCTTGGAACTCGGGCTCCAAGACGCCTGCTTGGAATTCTGGCGCAAGAACACCTAATCCATACGCGAATGATGGCGGACGTACACCAGCATGGGATTCTGGATCAAAAACACCCATGTGGGGCCACGAAACACCTGCCTGGAATAGCAGTAGTAGTGGCAGTAATTATAGAGACACAAGCAGCAGCAGTAGCAATAATCACAGCTCCAGTTATAACAGCAATACACAATCACAATACTCTGCACCCCAAGTTGCCAAAACGCCTGGTTATGCTGGTAACAGCAGTAGTAGTCATCGCTATGCAGATGCCGATACCGCCCCTACACCTGGTGCCTCATGGGCAGCTCCAACACCTGCCGCTAGTTATGAAGCCAGAGCTCCCACACCAGCTGTTAACTTTGCACAAACACCCTATGATGCCCCTACACCCTATGAAGCAGCACCCACTCCTGGTGCTGGTTTGATCCCGCCTACACCTGCTGCCATGATCTCAGCGCCTACACCTGGCAGCTATTTACCGACTACACCAGGAAATTTCATGCCTACAACACCAGCAACAGGTCTGCCTCAAACACCATTTATGCCTAGTGGAGGTGATTACGGACATGTGGATGATCAAGGTTTGTCATGTCGGGTTGTTTATTAAGAGTGGGATTACTGACATTTTTACATGTAGGAGATCAAGGAGAAGACAACTGGCCTATTGAAGAAATTGAGGTTATATTAAAGAGAAACCAAGGCGATGCTCAAAAGGGTCAACACTGTAAAATTATCAGCGTCAACCGCACTAGTCGCAAATGTCTTGTCAGTGTATTGGACAATCAAAACAAGCTGGATATAGGATTTGACTACATAGAACCCGTTCGACCAAGCAAAAAGGACAATGTCAAGATTATACTGGGTGAACATCGTGGTGAACTTGGTTCACTTATTGGTGTAGATAGTCATGATGGTATCGTTCGTTTGAAGGGTGATGGCAGTGGTTTCAAGATCTTGAGTATGAATTCTGTTGCAAAGTACACTGGTACAGATAATGTGGATTAAAATATAGCATTTTATATATAACAAAAAAGCAAAATTAACTATGGAATACTCTCCAATCTAAAATATCAATAAATTTACATACATTCACTTTTTATAAGCGTAGTGTTTTTGGGCGGCAGTGTGCTTTGTGTTGTAGATGCTGTAGGATCTTGATTCTTGCTCAAAATAGTATACCTGTCAGCGAGGTATATTTTTCAGGGCCATATGAATTGTGCTATACGCTTCAATGCTGCAATTAGTGGCCATTTCCCTGTACGCATCGCCCCTTTCTACTATCCAAGGCACTTTCTTCCAACGAACAGTGAAGGCTTAACATTGACGGATTATCTAATGTCTTTTGCCAACAAACTGAGATGCTTTGCAGCTGTTTCATCAAGACAAAACCAAACTCGTGCCACTCCGATTTGAAAAAAATGATGCAAGTATGATTCCGTTGTGTATCCAAAGAAACCTGAATAGAAAAAAAAAAAAACCTTATAGTGTAATTAGAGCAGGGCTTTTGACATTGCCACTCGCTGGAAAAAAAGTGTTGTCAATACCCCTTTAAATCAAAACCCATGGATTGAAGCCGCGTTACTTGATTAATGCGGATCAAAGCCCAACAGCATGAAATACACATCACTTTTTTCCGTTGCTGCTGGTAATGCACTTGTTTTGTACAATACGGAGATACATTGTTGGGTTGTGTGCTTATTGACATCTCTCCATTAAAAGCAAGTGAAAGAAAAGTGCTTCAACTGATCGATTCAAACAGTGCTGCATCTCACCATTGGCTGATATCTGTATATCGAAGCTATGCCATTTATATATTGAATCGACGCTGGTAAATACATCATCAAAGCCGCAATGGCACGTTTGATAGACTATTCTTATCGAGATCATAGAGATGATGTGCTTGTTGGTCTTTGTATGTATGAAGTCTGATTGAATTTCTTCATTTTGATGCTAGCAAAACATGATAGCGATCCTATAAAAGGCATGGAAGGACATTCAACTAACATGACGGATGAAATACGGCGGCACATGCATGGCAGTAACAGCATCGAATACACATTACATTGCTCTGATCAATCTGCCATAGGCTGGCAAAAGGTGCCAGTATCCAAACTTGATTCTTCAAGACACAATCAGCTTGACATGCTGGCTTGCACATTACCCACACAATATTACGCACACGAAAGTTTCTCAACGCATGATACACATCTGAGCTAATTTTGTTACGCATTACCCCAGCTCTTCATTGAAGTTGCTTGAGTAATCTCATTTGTTGCCATAGCAACAGACAGCTAGTATGCTTCACTTCACTGAAATGAATGGAGTCTACAAGTAATGCCTTGCGATACGCTTTGCTAAAGTGGTATGTATCTATACGCATGATGCTGTCATGATTCGGAGCTGATAGCCAGATGTAACATGCAGATTATCATACACTGGGTTCAAACTATAACGAAATGTCAATAAAACTTAGCAAATAGATAGATGCAAATACACAATGATTGTCTATCCAAAAACCAGAGCTTTCTCAAATTTATCATACCAGGAAAAAGAAAACTACCATCAGGTATTGAAGAGAAATGGCATGAGTGAAATATGATACCCGGTCCGTGCACTCTGTGTCTTTCGCATTCGCTCATTGAACCTGACATGCTTATAAATAAAGCCAAATTGTTCATCCCAACAAAAGAAATCCTGTTCTTTTTCTCTCTTTCTCTCTCTCTTTCTTTCCTTCTCTCTAGGTCGTCTTACCATCACCAAAGAAAAAAAAATGGAGCAAGTTCAGCATAGTTTGTCTCGTTTAGCATTAGCAAGAGCCATCAAATCAACTGATAATGAAACAGAAGAAGAAGCCTGGAACAAGAGCATCATTTTCAATCAGCCATTTGTAAAGGATTTGCATAGACAAAAGCACCAATTAGCTCGTCAATTAGAGAAAACAGCTCCATCCCAAGAACGCCATCGTGCTTCATCTACTCTTAATTCTAAGCGCTATCATCATCAGCACAAAGCCAGTTCCTCTTCAGGATCCTCTTTATCTCTTGCATCAGGTACTATTTGACAAGCAGAGCGCCAAATATGTACATTTTTAATTTGATGATTTTTTTTTTCATGGGCATTCTAGAAAAAAGACCTTCGGCACCAAAGAGTAATAGACAATCACAGCGTGCATGCTTGCCAAGCGATACGGAAGAAGATGAATCTGACAATGATCAGATTGAGGATGATGAGACAGACGATGGCTCTGAGGTATTTCAAGGTAACATCACTGCACACATGATTCACGTTTTGCTGGCGAGTAAGCTGATTTCATGCCCATATAGTGAAGCGCCAAACGGATCCTATCAAAAAGAGTCAATCTCCTTTATCGAATCAGGACGGCATCTCTCGCCCTGTTAGCATGGAATCGCCGTCTACTAGGATCGAAAGTGGCGTTAGTAGTCCATCTAGAAATTCCACCTCAAGTCATGTTACTCCACTTACCGAGGAAGATGATGTCGAAGAACCCATTATACATCATAGTCAGCAAAACATACCCCAGCATGCCTTGAATGAAGAATTTCCCAATTATATCCCAATGCAACACATGCCAAAGAGCCCTCTCACCCCTCCAGTGATGATGGATCCCATGTACTATCAGCGACTCCAGCATTACCAATCTCAATTGCAGTACCAACAGCAATTACAGTACCAGCAGCAGCTACAGTATCAACAACAGCAGCTATATCTACTCTCACAAAACCCCAGCGTCTTCTTTCCGCCTGGTTCAAGGGCCATGATGATGACGGACGAGCCAGCCTCAATGGGACCTCCACCTCCTCCACCCCCACATCACATGCCATCGTCTTCTTCATCCTATAAGAGAGTGACACATCCTCACCATCATCGCAAACATCGGCATAGCAGTAGCAGTAGCAGTAGACTGAGCAGTACTGACATTAGAAGAAGACAAGAAATGCTTAAAAGTTCAGTAACAGACCTGACATATCCATCATCTGCATCGCTGCCTATGTATAATATGACCAGTATGCCCATGGTACCATCTCTTCCGAGAAACAGTGGTGGCAGACGTCCATCTTACTTTTAACTCTATCTTAATTATCCCAACTTAATCTTTTCCTCCAGAAAATAAAAAATTATATCTAGTAGTAATAGTAGTATTCCCAACAGAAATATCAAAATTAGCATGACAAAATGACAAGCAATTGCATGAGTATTAATAGTAGCCACAATTTCCAAACTAGTATTCCTGTTACGTTTTGATTCATGTCTCCATGCCATCATGCTTTCCTTTAATGAACTAAAGGCATGATGTAAGTGTACATGTATGTGTTTATATCAAGATGCTAAACGATCCCAATCGTAAATGGACACATCATGAAATGGCGATTGTCAGTTTCTTGTGAATTAGGAACAAACCCACGACGGGATGCTGTAGAGAACGGGAAATCACAACTCACATCCGAGACGGAGTCCTGCTCTCAAAACTCCATTGCCATGCAAGCGTTTACCTGAAAAGCTCAACCTTTCTCTCAGTGCACCTATCTTTAGGGATTTACCTATATAAAGACTGCGATCAGACATCTTCAGTCACCTTATAGCATATAGAATCTGCGTGGTTTCAGGTTGGATTAGTCATTTCTTCAGATTCTGTATATTATTTAGTTTGAACTCTAGATCAATGAATGGTGTCTTTTGCTGAGAAATCGAAAAAAAAAGATGTGGATTCGCTTGATAACTCGAGCTACTATTAGAAAGAAATCACTTGTGTATAAAACAGGTCTCTTCATTTAAAAATGAATGCTACTGATATATTGGGGCATTCTTAAAATCCATGTCTGGATCCACATTGTGAATTAAACTGCAAGGTCTGGATTTTAGACCGTGCTCAACATCTGGAAGCCTACACAAAGTGTCCTTTTATTCGTTTTCAGTTCAAAATAAAAATCAACGCTCCAGATAGCCATGGCATTGAGCTGACCATCTAATACGTTCAGATCTTTAATTACCTTGAATGAGCCCGTTAGTGGATGCCTCCAAAACTAGGCATTGGAGTTGATAAATCAGAGTATGTTTCAATGCAAAATCACAGGCGATTTGGTAATGCTTAATGCTTCTGACTGCGACCACTAATAGTCTTTGATAGAAGCTTTTTTTTTTTTAGCTATTCAGCACTAGCAATACATTGCTCTACTGTGATAAGAGAGAGAGAGAGAGAGAGAGAGAGAGAGAGAGAGACACACACACACACACACACACACACACACAAGAGTGTCTGAGATCAAGGCTACTTTTGCATTGTATTACAAAAGAGTGAAACTGATGGCTCTCTTCAACACCAGTCCGTGTGCATTTCAAGACCAACATTTTTCTTTTTAATTCAATTACATTTTGGTGCTACTCGACCTTCCTTTCTTTCCAAGCATATACTTCAATCGTTTCAATGGAAGAAAAGAGCAAGCCAGACATCCCAATAGCGTTGAAAACAAAGCCATCTCGCTGGCACACAAAAGGTACCACCGGCAGCTCATCGCCGTAAGCATATCGCTAATTACCACACAGAGTTTTACTTTTACTACGTTTGTTTCTGTATTGTGGTGCCTTACATGTTCAAAGTGACATACAATTTAAGCAAAGGTAACAATCACATGTGACAATAGAGAGCACGAGTATTCAGTCCATCTCTACAGAATCACATCCCAATTATCACTTGTATCAAGATCTATTATCAGAGGGTTGGTTGTTTGGACGGAAAGTAGACAACAGTGATGCACAGTACGGTCAATTTCGTGATAATATACCCAAACTATTGCCCTTGGTTCTATTACATCTCGCTCTCAACAAGGCCAATCGCATCTATCACTGGATCCAGTCGAACTTGCATTTCTCTCTATTGACGTCCCTATTGACAGTATTTCTATTTCACGGCTCCAGCACATTCAAAATCTTATTCATTATCACTGTCAGCTTCAGCATTGGACATTGTTACAAAGGATCCAAGTGGAATCCTATCTTGACGTGGCTATTCAATTTGCTGGTGCTATTTGTCAATGAATATTACGATGGATATCGATTTGCCCACATGTTTGGACAAGGATTTCAGTGGTTGGACGATTGGGAGGGATTTCAAGCGAGATGGCATATCCTGTTCAATTTCGCCATGCTTCGTTTAGTGTCATTCAACATGGATTATTACTGGGCTTTCAATAGTGAAGACAAGAAGGTCAAAGGACACCCTGCCCATGAAGCGCCTCACACAGACAAGGAGAGAATCAACAACCCCCTATTGGAGAGCGATTACAACTATACCAACTTTTTAGCCTATGTCTTGTATACACCATTGCTGCTGTGTGGTCCTATTATCACGTTCAACGATTTCATTTCTCAGGTACGGCATATCAGAGAAAGAAAGAGAGAGAGAGAGAGAGAGAGAGAGAGAGAGTTCATTGGACATGTTCTAATGTAATTTGACATTTAGTATCGATTCCCCTCCCCAAATCTCTCCAAACGCTACGTTATCACCTACGCATTTCGACTTGTCAATGTCATTCTGGTAATGGAATTTACCTTGCACTACTTGTATGTTGTAGCGATCAGCAAGGCCAAGGCATGGGACGGTGCTTCACCGCTCGAGCTCAGTATGGTCGGCTACTTCAATCTGGTAATCATTTGGATGAAATTACTGATCCCCTGGCGATTCTTCAGATTATGGTCATTGGCAGACGGCATTTGGGTAGAGGAGAACATGGTGCGCTGTATGAGCAACAACTTTTCGGCGCAAAGATTCTGGAAGAGTTGGCACCGAAGTTTCAATCGCTGGACGATTCGATATATTTATATCCCATTGGGAGGCTCCAAGTACTTTGCCTTTAGTATGTGGGTTGTATTTACATTTGTGGCTTTATGGCATGACATTGAATTGAAGCTGCTGGCTTGGGGATGGCTGATCTGTTTGTTTTTACTGCCTGAAATCATTGCTACTCGATTATTCAGCGAAAAGAAGGTAATGCATAGTAGTTCAGAGAGAACGAGGCAGAATCTAATCAGCAGTGTGTTATAGTACGGTGATAAACCTTATTATCGTTTTGTGTGTGGATTAGGTGCAGTAGCCAATATCTTGATGATGATGATTGCTAATCTGGTTGGTTTTGCTGTGGGTGTTGATGGCGTCAAGGAAATGCTGACCAAAATATTTGGCACAGCTAATGGATTATCCTTTTTGATCACTGTTACTATCTGTTTATTTATTGCTGTTCAAATCATGTTTGAAATTCGCGAAAGCGAGAAGAGAAGAGGTGATCCCAAGTGGAAAATGTGAATAAAACAAGTTTTTGTGTCAAAACAAAAAAAAAGTACATATTATCATGGTTGTTTAATGTATATATATATATATATAAATATATAAAAGAGGTATCAAAAAGCAGTGATTATTATCATTTTAGCATAATCTTTGCCTTAAATTCACATCCAATGCCTTTCTCTGTTTGCCTAGCCAAGATGAAGGCGAAGAACGGAAACCAAGGCTGGATGCATCTCGATCGCTTCTTCTCACAAGATCGTACCAAGCTGAAATGATCAGTTGTTGCTCAATCTTTGATTGTTGGCGTACATCTTGAATTTGTTTCTATTGCACAAAATCAGTATTGAAGCAAGTGTGCAGCTAGCGGTTTATCACTTTACCTTCAATAAGTCTTGTTCTTCTTCCTTTGTTCTAGGTGTTCTGCCAATTAAGCCTTCGTCCGATTTGCGAACATTGGAAAATCTTGCCGTCATTTCTTGCAGCAGTTGACTGTAGAGTTTGATCATCTAATGAAACAAGATGAGTGAGAACACGAGGACCATCTACAGCTACACTGTCGACTAGCTTACATCGCGAACTTTTCGAATTTTGCCTTGCGTTTCGTTGATCTCCTCTTGCAAATGCAAAACATGAATTTGCAAGCTTGCATTCTGCTCTTTGATCACCTCCAAGTCGCCACTAGGCAAATGTTTAGACATACTGCGTAATATTTATAATGAACCCTGCAACTTACTCGCTTAAACCAGGTCTTTCCTCATTACCATTGTTATTGATGCCATTCAAGTAGTTGGCTTCAACCAACATGCGATTGATATCATGCAGTTGCATCTTTGTGATATCTTCAAGTCGATTGACTCTATCTTGAATTTTGGCATGCTCCTTTTCAAAGCTCTGTAAAGCCGTCTTGTCTTTGACTACACTGCGGTTGCCATCCAGCACAATGGTTTCAAGATGAATTGTATTCTCCTTCAAGTTGCTGGATTCCTTCTCAAGATCCAGAATGCGGGAGCGGAATGCCATGATGGTTTGTGTCTGGTTGAGCAGTGAATCAGGGATGCCATTTCGAATTTGCGCCAGCTCATCCCGTAATCTGTCTCGCTCAACAACAATTGACTCATAATTCTGTCGACCATGTCAGTGATAGCTGTTGCTATGGTAAATTCCAGTCTATTTACCTGCTGTAGTTCTGCTGTGCCAACCTTTGATTTCTCTGTCTCTTCTGCCAGACTGTTTGCAATGGGTGCTTTCACCTCTAATTCCTTGATCTGTCGCTGCAGTCGTCCAATTGTCAAGCGTCTATACAGCGTCAATATCAAATAGCCTTGCAACTAAAAAAAAAAAAAAAAAAAAAAAAAAAAAAAAAAAAAAAGCTCTTTCCACTTACAGTTCTGTCACATTGGCCTTTTTCATGTTCTCTTCCATGGTACTCTGATCTCCCTGCAAGCCTTCGTCGTCAATGACAACACTTGCTCTATGACTCACGACTTTATCCAGGGTCTGTCCACCACCAAACTCCAGCTCTTTAATGTGCTCTTCTAATAGCTGTACTTGCTCCGCATTGCGATCACGATCACTCTCCAGGTAGGCGCACGTATCTGCCATATTCTTCATTTCCTCTTCCAGCTGCGTCTTTTCTCTTAAAATCTCTCTGTTTCCAAACTCAAGCTGTTGCACTTGCTCCTTGTACGAATCCATCAATGTCTTGAATGCTAGCACTTTTCGATACTCGTCTTCCACTTGATGACTTCGCTCTAGCAAACTAGAGTTCTGATCTTCCAGAGCCTTGATCTGTCTCTTCAAGTCGGATGTATCTTCTGCTTTTCGCTTGTACTTTTCCAGCGAGATTTCCATCTTTTGCATCTTTTCAATGGCATGTTTGTACTCCTCTAGCTGATACCGCAGTGACGACGCCTCTTCAGCTTGAGCGGTGAGTTCCTCCACTTTCTTTTTGAGCTCGTTGATCGTTTCCAAGTGATTCTCCATCATCATCTCTGTTTCCTGACGTCGATCCTCACTACGCTCCCTACAAAAGATTAAACATCATGTAAGTTGATTTCAAGGAGACGACCCAAATATAAACTCTATTTTACAAATCTTGCTTGAGATGCTCAATTTCAGTTCTCATCACATAATCTGCTTTGCCCGTATTGTTGGCTTGTGTAATTGCTTCGTCCATGTCTTGCAATCGTGTCTTTAAATCTTCCTTTTCGCTTAGCAGATCCTCCTACATGGACATTAGAGTCATCCCGTCAGATACAGACATGATGCTACTTACGAATCTCTCCCTCAGTTCATCGTATTCGCCCAACAACTGACTATGTGATGTCTCAAACTGCTTCTTTTCCAACAGCACCTTTTCGAATTCCAGTTGGTATCTGTACGGCATATCATCTAATTGAAAGTTCTTTGTTCCTGAGCCACCAGAGTTGCCGGATAAGTAAGACAATCGATGATTATTGGATGCATAATCGGGCTCTGTATTGAAATGGTTCATCACTTCCTCGATAGACACCATCAGCGCGTGCTGACTCTTTTGCGATAGGCTTTGTATCATTTCAATGTAGACCTTATTGTTATCTGATTGAACGGCGATGGCAATAACGAGCTGGCACATGAGTAGCAGTTCATGTAAATCGGCATCTTTGGCAATAGCAGTTAAATTCACTGCAGGAAGAAGTTCAGGGTCCTGCCCTACAATATCCTCAAAGTATCGAGTGATCAGTTTGTGTAATTTCTTTTGATTGTTGAATCGAACCACCCAGTTACTGGCTGTCTCTGTTTGTTTGATTTGTTTGAACCATTTTGGATCGCTGTGGTTTTATGAGAGAGCAAATAATGTGAGTGGTTTGAAGAGCATCGTTGCAAGTATGTTTTTTTACTAGTTTACATGTCAGTGAGAATCTCAGAGAGCACTACACCGTCTGCCAATTCAACCACAGTATCGATAGAGTAAGATTTTACATCAAACGTATTTATCTAGCGTATCTTTTGATTGAGACATGTTTGTTGATAATGTTAAAAAAAAAGAGTCTCTATTTACCCATTCTACAAACGCATCTTCCATCGCTGCTTCCATCTTTGAAAAGGTCATGTTGCAAGTGATTGTATGAAGCAAGAAAAAGAAGAAGAAGAAGAAGGGCTGCCTCCCCCCCCCCCCCCCCCTCTGTCTCCTATATTTAAACTTATTTAATTATCTGTGGATTTGTCTGCCCCTCTTTTTTGGCTAATTTGCTGAAATTGGTCTGTGAAATTAACGCTCAGTTGTAATGATCCTGGTGTCACCTTTTCCATGTCGATTGAAATCATGGTTCAATTTGCAGACATCTGTGCTGCTTATTAAAGCAAGTTGTTTGCATGTGTTTGCATCATCATTCCATACATGCACATTAACATGGCTGCTGATAGCGCAACTTATTGGTTCAAGTAGAGGCTGATTGCGAGTGTATGTGTGGCTCATCAGGTCATACCAAGCTTGGAGAAATGTCGTGTTTTTTAAACCAGTGTGAACATCTTCTCATCATGACCATCGATCTCTGGAAAGCATATCTGATCTAGCACTACAGAAGATGCAACCTTTGATTTACTGATACCTCCGACAGGGTCCTTCTTGTTCAAGTGTTATTGTTGAATGTTGATGTCGTACCTCTCTCAGCATCTAATGTGCAATGTTTGTTTTCTCACCCCGAAGCACGGTCGTTCTCTTCTGCCAGAGGCTAAATCCGTTTTCCCATCAAATTTTGTACCAGGTACAAACACCTCTTTCTTTCTCTTTTGTTACCGAATTTACAGCAAAGATGGCATTTGGCTTTTTTTCAACACAATACGATGATCAAGGCACCATGGATGATGGTAAGTCCCGAGTATATTTTTATTTGGATGACAGATCAGTAATGCTGCAATAGGTAACTGGCAATACTTCGGCCTTACAAAGACTCAGCGTCTCTATGCATTCGGTATAGCGTAAGTATCTCTATTTGATTTTTACAATCTAGTAGACGACTGACTTGCTGAACTCAATGTAGGTTTGTAGCAGGCACGCTTCTTTCTATTGTGGTAAGTGGTTTATATTGGAAAGGAGTTGTTTTCGACAGCACAGTGCTAATAAAGAGTAAACTAGTCAACCATCACCTTGATCACCAACATTACAGCATTTGCCATTCTCTATAGTATCGGCAACATCATTTCTTTACTCAGGTATGATATAAAACTGACTCAAATTTGGTACCTGAAATCACTCATCTTTTTTGAATTATCAGTTTGACTTTTATTATTGGTCTCAAGAAGCAATTCAAGACAATGTTTGCACCTGGTAAGCAATATAATTGGGGTTTAATGTGGGTGGGATGTTGACATTTGTGATAGTTCGTTTCTGGGCAACTGTCATATACCTTGCAATGCTGGTCCTTACCATTATTATATCCGTTACCGTAAGTGAAAGGGTTATATGACGGGACATGGCAAAAGTTACTGAATCCATTCGGTAGTTGCAAAAGTTTTTCCTTTCATTGATCTTTGTTATTATCCAATTCGCTGCATTAGTGTGGTATTCGTAAGTGCTTATGCGAGATGTAAATGTTGATAGCGAATATTCACCCTCGAATCTATAGTGCAAGTTACATCCCTTACGGTCGAGAAATGATTCGTCGTTTCTTTGGCAGTTGTATTACATCAATTTAGATGATGATAATTTAAAATCATGGGATACCATTTATTATGTGCTGTCTACTATGTATCGTTCAATACAGTCTAATATTTCAAACCAAATGGAATTTCCTTGTTCTCCAATGCTGCCAACACGTTATCCACACACATATCACCCATAGTCTCACGAGCCTCAATGGTTGCACTGCCAATGTGAGGGAGAATAACACAGTTATCCAGCTTGAAAAGTGGGTGGTTTGTAGGCAATGGCTCTGGTGTGGTCACATCCAGCCCAGCACCAGCGATCAAATTCTCTTGTAACGCCTTGACAAGACCATCTTGATCTACTACACCACCTCGTGCCGTATTGACAAAGATCTATGGAAAAAAAACAAGTCAGCGCACTGCCATGCGCCAAATAATACTTTGATCTCTTACTGCATTCTTCTTCATGTTCTTGAATGCCTTATAGTTGAAAACTTCCTTGGTTTCAGGTGTTAATGCGCAACAAGCAACAATGAAATCAGATGAAGCAGTAAGCTCGTCGAATGTTACAAAGTCAGCATTCAACGACTCTTTCAGCTCTGGCTTCTCACTTCTTCCCCAGTAAACAACACGATCAATGCCAAATGCCTTCAATCTTGATGCCACAGCTTGACCGATGCGGCCAATACCTACAACACCCAACGTCTTGCCCTTGAATTGATATCCGCACAACCAATTGGGTCTCCATTCTCTCCACTGTCAATGCACAAAAAGTAGGTTTAAGAAAACTTTAAGATATTTCGTATCCATCATCGTACCTCTCCTGTCTCAGCAGCTCGAACACCTGACTTCATCTTTCTAGCAGCAGCTAATGTCAATAAGACAGTGAGGTCTGCTGTAGCATCCGTCAATACATCAGGCGTGTAGCCAATTTTGACATTGTTCTCTTTGGCTGTCTTCAAATCGATGTGATCATAACCCACGCTCATAGTAGAGACAACCTTCAATCCAGGGCCTATCATTGTTGTCATCGTTACACTGAGACAATGAAGGTTTTCAAACGTCTATATCCCAACTTACCAGCTGCATCAAACACTTGCTTGTCAATTTTATCAGAGAGCATGCAAATCAATCCCTCGGCTCCTTTGATATCCTTCAAAAGGGTCTCACGAGGCATCGATGAATCCTTGGGCCATTGAATCAATTCGAAGCCTTGTTGCTCGAGTCTCTCTTGACTAGCTGGTAACAATTTTCTGGTGGCAACTACTTTTCTGCCTGCGCTAACAAAGGCAGAGCTATGGAAATAGGCTGGTGTGCTAGCAATGAAGCGAATCTTTGAATTGACACGAGGTTTCACTGTTTGTAATGAGCGAAGCATGTTTATTTTTAAGTATTCGGTTGATAGAGACAAAAGAAAAGGAACAAAATTAATGGGTTTACACGATCATTTCCATGGCTGAAATTGAAAAGGTGCAGGGAAATATACCATTGACATCTTGATGTAAGCTATATAAATCCCACAATAACGGAGATCTTGAAGTAGCGGAACTTGCTGTTACTGTTGGTGCTTTCTGCCGGTATTGAGGATGATGGGCAATTATGACAGGGAAATAAGTCATGGAATAATTTCGTTTTATTTAAAAGAAAATCTGAAGTTTACGCAATCTAATATGCAAATAATAACTCATACAAAGTTCGCTATGTTTACAAGTCCAGTCAACTGTGTGTGCATGGATGCCTCAGGAACTACAATAGGTCTCTCAACAAGCTATACTACCAACAATTAATAAGGCTCCAGTGGTCTGCTATTTATATACCATCTCAACGTAGTAGTCGTTGACTAGAGATCTATCATATTTAAGCTAGTTAGATGCCCTGTAATAAAAAAAGCTCTTTGCTTCCGTTTTAGATACAGTGGACAACAGATTGTAATCATCGACTTTATTATTACAAATTCATCTTGGTGTGAGACCTTGTTAAAAACATTTAATATAATTACAGCTGCGAGCGCTTGATAACTGCTGACAGCGAAGCCAGTAAGTTCTAGCTATAAATCTTTATTATTTCAAATGTTCATGCTCTCGATGGCTTTCTATTTTCGTTTTGCTTCGGTGAGAACCAACCAGCGCAGCGGCAGCTCGCGCTACCGATTGCCCTTGAGTATCTTATTAAAATACTGCTACTTTCATTTTGACCCTCCATTTACACATGAGAACCCTTCATATTATCTGTGGATCTGATTCTTGTGTGATACTATACATTCATATACATGTAGCCACTTCACACACGGGCAAGCAGCATAATGGAATATCCCCTTTTTAGTCATTAGTGTCCCTGATACAGCAAAATCTGAGTGCATTTGAGTTGCGTTTTCTTGCGCTCAAGACCGTTTTAGGTGGCCAGAATAGCACCAAACGATTGCTCTCAACTGGCTGTTATTTTCTGACGCCTTTGCTCAACCTTTTGGGGATAAAAAAAACATGGCCAAAAATCGACCAACAAGCATGAGGTACCCCTCATGGTTTTCATCAGAAATCAAACGATCGCGTTTTTGACCTTGATAATGAAGACTTTTACTATGATATGTATTACATCAAACTGTTTCTATCAATCTAACGTAACCTTTGAAATCATCTTTGTGGGGCCATGATATGTAAAACTTTGACTTTTTGGCCATAAACCTCTTTTCATATTTCTATAAATTGCTCAATAAGTTTATTCGAAACATTCATATTACATGGTACCATTAGATGTGCCTTGAAAAGTACTCCAAGAATGTATTAAAAAGCATCGTATGATCATCTCGATTTATATAGTCGAATCTGCTAAAATAGTTCAATCGAGTCGAAGATTAGTAAGATTTGGCCAATCTGGAGTAGATCAAGAGTCTGAGTTGAAATTAATTTTGGCTGGTGCGGCCGGCTGGCAAACTCAATGCCCTTTCATGAAGGCGATACTATAGTAATAGATGCTTTTGAAGCGTATGGAAAGTAGGTGGTAAATCATATAGCAGTATCGTTAGCCATGCCATTTTCCTTGCATTTTATAGTTAATAATGCCAGTCTATCAAAATACTTGTCAAATCAACTTCTTTCCTTTTTGAGGCTTTAAAATTGTCTAGTGAGGACCATAAACTTGTTACGTTGCAATGAGTATTTCAACTCTTCGGTTGGTTTCCACCAAAGCGAAGCGGAGGTCAGGAAGCTAACCTACGTCCAGGTGGCTCGCGTTGCCTCGGGCCTTTGGCTAATGTTGCAAAATTAATAATAGCTAAAATGTTCAATGAAACTTGATTGTTGATTAATAGTAATATAATATAAAATCACTAGTCATATATGAGCCATGCCTGACAACTCAGTTTCCACATTACGGTTGTAAAAGTGTCTAGGGACTGAACATTTATTATGTTATAATAATAATTCTTGCATAATCTTTGCTTTATTGTAGTAGTATCAGACTCTTATTATGGTAAAAGACAATTTATTTGATTTGGCTTCTAGAATAAGACACAATATGGCGCTTGAATGGGCGTCATTTCACTGCAGTTGATATGAAAACGTTCTGTTCGTATAGTAGTACTATGGACAACAGATAACAAGACACATCACAATTGTTACTATATCATTTGCAGCAGACATAGCAATTGTGGCCTACCTAATACTGTGATTATGAAGTAGGTTATACCTTATGGTGGACACTTCCTCTTAAAATCAAAACAAAACGGTTTCTCCTGCTTCTCTTACAATGAGAGAAACTGATGATCAAATCCGTCAAACATTAGCCATATAGATTGCGTAATATAAGACCGCCATCTATATACAAACGTGTGCGTCTGAACAGAACAGTATTGCAAACAATGGTATACAATCGAGTTACTTTGTGTTCAATGTGGCGAATGCTCCAATGACTGGATAAGTTTTGTGATGTTCTCAAGAGTGATTGCAGTAAAAAAAAGGGGGGGTGAAGAAAGCAGATGAGATACTGTTAAAATCCTTCTATATTCAAAATTAGGATAATGTTCAATAAATGTATATTCTATGTCTCTATTCATAGTATTATTTGGTTTATATCTCTTATCTGGCAACAATTTAGTAACTGCCAAAGATTCCATTGTTTCGTATATTGGCGCTATCCAGTTGTTGATCTGATGGAACAAAAATGGTGCTTCAATATATGATTTGTAATTATCTCGTAAACAATAGGTTTTTGTTGTTGAGCATTATCTTGTTTACGTATATTTATGTTACAACACATTGCAATACCCTTTGCATATACTCAAGTATCTGTCATCTCTTATTTCTAGAGTATTTTGCCCTTGATATTGCCATGCTATTACTACTGTTCCATATGCTTACCTGTTGATGGTAGCATGGCTTGATTGAGATGACAATTATTTTGGATGATTTTATGACGGGAATCTAGTCTAGTCCACTTCAGTAATTTTCTTCTCTGTTGTTGAACAACAACTTTGGACATGATCCCTGCTGTACTGGCGATTTTGACCTTCTAAATCTTGGCTCTACTAGGTGCATAGGGAATGAGCTAAATTGTCATTGCCTTTGCCTTTAGAAAACGAGATTTGGACTATGAGCTCATGTTCCTGCAAACCCTACTTGATTTGGCGATGAATTACAAGAGATTCAATCACATCGCTTTTCAGAAAGCCACTGTTGTCTTGTTTGCCTGTGTCACAATAGCGCTCATGTTTATTGCTACCATCCTGACCAAGTTAGCACATCAGCATCGATTTAGAATGATACGACGACTGTACTACTCAATCCTACATCCGCAGTAATTGCATACAAGTGGCCATCTACCTTACCTTTTTTCGATAATTTCGTACCTTACTTGAAGCAAACGCTACAAGTATAACAACCAACAAGTAGCCACAGAATTTTGCTTTTTGAACAGAGCATTTAGTAATCTGAGTGGCATTGCCTGAAAGTTCACTAATCAACACAGCGATTCTGGCATTTGCCTTTGAAGATGAACATAGCCCACTCACAATGAGAAGCTGCATGTGGGGATGTCTTACAAACAGCATTAAATTTATGCTGTACTCGCTGATCGGTTGAATATGCATCTCGATTCAACCAACCTGAGCTAAACGGGTCAATCGCAGTGGAGTATGATTTCCACATGTAACTAGCTGGCTATTGCCGGTTATCTTTCGCTCAACAAGTTACATACAATGGCAATCGATTTAATGTACAAAACTGAAAGCTTTTAACCAAATTGTCAACAAACTACCAAACATGTCATGTTTCTCTATTTTGCAGGGGAAAAAAATGGATTGGCAGTGCATGATGTATATATCACGTTTGGTTTAAAAAACTCTTCATTCCAAATTTCATGAAGCATCAAAAATATAAATACTTGGAACGTTATCGGTCGTATTCCGTCTTCTCTATCTTATTCATCATGAAATTTATGCTACCTTTGCTTGTACTGCTAGGACTCAGCAGTGCCCAAATCACTGCTAATCAATTGGATGCTTTGGACGCACCCAATTACTTCAATGCATCTGTTGTTTCTTGCCATTGGTCTGGTGCTGTTGATGCTTGTTGTTCTCCAAAGTACGGTTTGAGGGTTTTTGCTCTCCAATGGAGCCCTGGCTGGGGTCCTGCTGATGAATTCACCATCCGTGGTAAGTCCTCATTGTAGTATAATGCTTGCGATATATACATTTCACTCATGTCTCAGATAACAGGTTTATTTTCGGACACATGGTAAGCTGTGATTCACTTTCTGAATCGACAAACATCCTCGCCTCGGTCATTATAGTGATAGTCATAATGTTCCTGATCATGGTTACGACAAAAGCAGAAACTCCAACCAAGCCGCCACTATTGTCCAAAACATGAACGAAACTGTCTACAATAGAATGTCCACCTTCTGGCCTAGTAACAAGGGAAACAACAACCAGTACGTGTCCCACATTTAGACAAAAGAAAATTTTCCTAGCTTCATTAACCTTTATGAAAACAGGTTCTGGTCACATGAATGGTCAAAGCACGGTACGTGTGTCTCTACCTTGCATCCAACTTGCTATGGTTCATATCAACAGTATCAAAATGTCATTGAATACTTTCAGGTAATTTTAACCCTGAATTCCACCATGGTGTCCCTATATTGATTGTTTGTACAGCAAACACTTGATTTACGTGACAAATTTGATATTTTCGGTGCACTCAAGTAAGTTCCCTTAGCAAATTCCTCCCACAACTGGTCTGTATCGCTAAACCCATCCATACTTGTGTCCAGTTTGAACGGTGTTTCTCCCGGAAGTACACACAATGTCGAAACCATTCGTGATGCGATTAAAAAGGTATACGGTGCTAACGTAAAACTTGACTGCAGTGGTGGCGCTCTCATTGATGTCTCGCTCAATTTCTACGTCAAGGGTCGTAGTGATTACATGATCACTGACGTCCTCCAGCCTGGTAACTGCAGAGGTGCTGTATTCTTCCCAAAGAAATAGTGTCATAGTATAATAATAAAGGGATCTATTTACAATAATGTGTGTTTGTTGTCTTGACGTATCAGAAATCATAATCATCGTCCTCCATAGCATCTCTTCCACGCTTCACTGGCTCAGTTGATGTCGCTGTTGCTGTTGGCTGTGATGCCGATGATTGTGAAGGTTCGAAATCTAAGGGCGTTTCCTGTGTATCAACCATCATTGAGCTGGATTTGTCCAATATGTAGATCAAGTCCAATGAGCTTGTTAGCAATTACCACAGATTCATGGCAACTTTTTCCAAGCAGTAAAAGTTCCTACTGCAGCGTGCATTTCTATTTACGATGATACATCGAACGTCGAATGGCTAGTGGCATATTTACTAGCCTCCCAAACGTCAACAACTCATTGTATCGCTTGTCGACAATCTCTCAAGGCGTGCTAGCCTCATCATCGTTTAGCATCAGCATATTTAATCACAATAATACACACATGACCATGGGTATCAAGAAGACGGCCCATAACACGTATACTGTCCAGAGAAACGCTACTATTTCCTTGGGTTGCGCTATAGACAGCAGATTAGATTTTGCCAATGATTTCGTCAATTCACCATACGATACCGTGCTGTGTAATTTGACGAACCTCAAGGATGTGATGAATGGAACAGCACCAGGCATCACTCAAGCAGCAGGACGCAGCTTCCAGGGGAACTATGCCATAAGCACAGTCTATACCTACTAAAAAGGACCAGCGTCATACCATCTTTATCATTGCATTCGCCTCATTTTGGTTTTCAATGTCAAGGACAACAATCTTGCCAATGAGGAACGCATAGTGGCCTATTTCAGAAACAGCTTGAGGTTCACTTTTCCATCGCATGTTGCTAATACAGCGAATATCATCAACAGCAAGATTGGCACTCTTCTGAATACAGTCGACTCTTCTTGCAGTGACCAAAACACAGTTAATTTTATGGTATGTATGGCATCCATGCGTGTACGATGGGGTAATGGCAATTTGTCAGACTTTTCCGTCAACACATTTTAAGTCATGGACACGATTCAAACACCAGCTTGGTGTACTGTCGCTGTGTCTGCCATAGGATTGCTATTCCTTGTAAGCCATATAAGCCGTCTGGTTGTAAGACGCATCCCTGAATAGGTTCACAAACTACAAAAATTGCTGTTGCTGACAATCAAGAAGCCCAACGTGTTGGATCAGGGCAGAAACGCCAACCCTGTTGTCATTTTATGGAGTACACAAGATGATAATTAGGATCGCATTGCTCTGTTAATTGTGAATGAGTATCCATTGTCGATCGCAAAGAAGCTGACCAGCGTGGAAGTCAGTTTGATTAACGAAACAACATTGACTGAAGCAGATGAAAAGTTGGGATCGTGGTGCTTGGTCTTTCGCATTGTACTGTATGTATTAGCAAATACTGTACTTGTAGCATAGGCACCAGTAAAGTAAAAAAAAAAAAAAAAGTCAGGGCTGATGCATCTGGACGAGCTCTCGATAAGCTGTCCATTTGCATTCATGCAAGCTCTACTTGACAGCAGACACCACTTTATAAACAATGCTTATGTGCAAATTACAGTATGAATGTGTGTTTATTAGTATTGTACAAAAGGTTGATATAGACGCCAACTATAACGAGCAAAATTAAACAGAAACAAAGTTCTTCATGTTCTGAAGCCATTGAGTGTATTCCTTTTGTTCCTTGTATTCAACATAATCAGGCAAAAAGTTGGCTAAAGCGGCATTGATACCACGTTCCTCAAGATAACGCTCAAAGAGGGTTTGAAGGCTTTCATCCAATTCAGCGAATTGAGGACCAATGTAGAGGCCACGACGTTGCCAGTCAGCTTCAGCAGATTGCTCATCGGCTAATTTGCCATCCTTGTAGTACATGACACTTTCAACAGCGATTTCGCCGTCTTGGGCAACTGTATCAATAGTAACAGCACCTTGACCATCCTTTTCAATGGTGACAGAGGCACGAACAGGGAATGAAACAGCATCCTCCTCATTCTCAGCATCAACCATATCGTCTTCAGGCAAGAATTCGTCGGGAGTTGCATTGTTGATATCGGAAATGGAAAACAAGACACGAATCCTATACCAAATGCTGTATAAATCACCCTGATCATGAGCAAGTAATATGTTCGTTATGCTTACTTTTCATTGCCAAAGGTGCGAGAAAGGGTCACCTCATCTACGCCAGCCTTATCCTCAATCTGTATACCGCAGTAGAGTCAGTTCACTGATACCGTCCTCCGTTTTCTTCTATTCGCCACCACTTACCTTGAATGAATTGGCCTCCAAAAACTCCTTGACAAACTCGGGCTGACCCACTTCTTCGTTAGACTTTTCGTATTGAAGCTCTTCATCCAACTTGTGAACGAGATCAGCATCAACTAGGGCGCTCAAAATCAGCCATCATGCTTACACTCTACCGCGACAGGATCACTTACCAACACCATTGCTCCAACGAGGGACGGCGGCAGAGAAAGAACGGGTCACGTTGAAAGCGACAGTAGGCATACGAGGAGCTACGGAGGGGGCTACAATGCTCTTGACAATAGAGGGACGAGCGATAGCACGAAGGGAAGAACGCAACAATTGAGAAGCCATGGTGTATGTATTTTAAAAAGGTTGAAAGACAAGAAAGAAAGAGAAAATTTTAAGCGAGTTGACAGGGGATGGCTGCTTTATAACATTTCCCATTTGCAGATCAAAAACAGCAAGCGGCCATTCAATGTAAAATACAGCAGAAAAAGAAACGAGACAATAGACATGTATGCATACATAAAAAAAACTCTGCCTGCAAAGCTTTTATTTACTCGCTGACTGTAACAGGTTCCTTTAAGCGGTAGCAAAGTGGAATATCACCACTTGTCTTTAGTATATGCTGCTTTATAGCTGCGAGCGTCATGGTGGGCGTAAGCACAGTGTCGCCACATAGTAATTCAAGCGAGCCATCTTTGACTGACAGCTTTTCAGAAATATACTGGATAAGCTTTCGCACTCTTAATACACGATTCGCTAACAGTCGGTTGTTGGGTCTATTCCATCTGGTTAATCAGGCTATTCTGTTATACATACTACTCTTCACTTACCCTCCTGGAAGTTCATCCAAATTGGATCCAGTGGCCGGCTTCAAAACAAATGTCAGCTTGACAGTTTCTTTGGGTGGTGTTTTGTTCTAGCAAAATGAGTAGATCAGTCACTTTTTCCTCTTCCACCAACACATTAAGTTACAACGACTTACATATAAGAGGTAGGACAGCAACCAAGATGGAGCTACGTCAATGATGGTTCCAGCGTCCTCACCAACAGATCCAACTGTGCCACGATACAAATCTATGCCTGTAGAAGCCTCTGCGCTTTCTTCTGCCACTATGATCATAGTCGACGAGGGAATCTCCAATGGTGGGAAATCCTCTAAATGAGGTGGTGTGTAAGATTCTGATTTACTCTCTTCAATGTCCTTTAATTTGTTGTTTTCCTCTGTAGATTTGGGTTCACCGCTGCTACCATTGAGAGTAGCGTTTTGTGCCGGAGGTGAAGGTTGCTGAGGCTGTGTCGTTTCTTCTGTGGGTGTAGTGGAAGTACTGATAGATGAAGTAGATACAGTAGGAGCCAGCAATTCATTTCCAGGCAGCTCGTTGGTGGGAACTCGACTTAGTTTAGCCTTGACAGACAGATTCTTGAGTCTATTCATAAAGTTGCCGCTTGTAGGTGACGTTGGCAATGTAGGGAGAGCAGCAGGTGGTGGAAGCTGAACAGAAGACTCTCTGCGAACAGGTGTGTGATGCGCACCCGAGAAATAATCTGATTGAGGGTTGGAAGATGGTGGTGCAGTGAATGGGCCAGCAAATTGAGCAGCCTGTGGTGAAGATGGTAGAAAAGGGGATTGATCTGCAGCGTTGGTTGTAACAGCCAGACGAGGGAATTTGGGCTCATCCATGCTCACATTGGGTGCTAGTGGTGCTGATGCTGGTATACTGGTGGAAGGGACACTGGGCACTGCTGGCTCAGGTGTGGACTTCTCTTCGCCAGGTGTTTGAACTGTTCTACTTTTTACAGATTCGGGTCTATCTGGTTGATCGTCTCCATAGCGTACATTGCCTTCACTCTCGTTTTTGAGTTCTTGCTCAATGAATTTTTCAAACAAGTTGGCAATCACCCATTTTCCCAGATTCACTGTGGTAAAAAGTAGTGTTAGTTGCATTCAACACACTCTATACAAGACTTGTATTTACATCTTTGGTCTTCTCTCACTTGGTAAGTGTCAGGTAACTCAACCTCATCGGCGTACATTTCGCAGTCAAAGCAATTGAATTCATGCAATTGCACAGTGATAGCCTATCATGATCAAATCAGTTGTTCAAGTCGTTGCAGGGTGACTTCAATGTACTTACGCCAATCTTGGTGTCAATGGAGCACCACGCTGGGAAGCTTTCTAAACTGTTCACTTCCGAAGCAACATCTTCCAAATCCCGTTTGCCAAAATTCTTGACTTGTATGCACTACAGATGAATCGTGGTGAGTGGCATTGATTTCAAATTGTGCAATCAAACACTTTTTACCTTTGTCAAATCCCACATGGCGATTTCTCCATTGGTGTCTTTTGTCAACAGATGGCGTCTATTATGCAATATCAAGTGCGACGTAATGCCAGGTTTACCAGGAATGACATAATCAGGTGCAGCTCTCAGCGGTGTCAATGAGTCCTCATTATCCAAATCATCATCTTGATAACTGATGGGGATGGAAAGAACGGAGCCAGCATACATAGTGATTTGGTCGCTGGCTACAAATGCATCCGCTACTTGTGATGAGTAGGCTGATTTGGCAGGTGGCAATTTGACGAGCGCTGAATTGGGGATTTCAGGGTTGAAGTCTGAGCGAGGCAATACTTGACGAGATTCAATCGAGGGCACAGACAACTATGATGAGAAAAGAATGAGGGACAGTGATGCTTGTAATATGTACCATCACTTACCCATCTATTGATGCTGGAGCTCGATGTTGCCGTCCAGACGTAGGCATCTTCAAGTGCAGCAATCTAGTACAGCTATCAGTACACATACTCATAGACTGATTCACACTGGATGCTTACCTTTGAAACGCCACTGTCTTCTCTGAATAAGCCTATGCATTCGCTATCTCCTTCCGCTAAAGTCTGTCCTGTAATTTCTGTTTTGTTGACTAACCCATCTCTGGAGCCTGAATAGAATGTTTTGAGTTCTGGGTGATTTGAGTAGAGAGACCAAACAGAGTCTGGATGTGTTTCATAAGTGGTCAAACAGCGTTGCGCTTTGACAGACCAAAGCTTGATGGTAGAGTCTGATGAGCCCGACAAAATCTAATCCAAAATATCAGTTGAACTGGCACACACATCCCAATCTTGCATCAACACATTACATATTGGCCATCGTCACTGATTAACAAGGCACGGATATTGTCGGTGTGGCCTGTTAATTTGCTGATACGCTTGCCAGATCTAGGGTCCCACAGCCTCACTACTTTCTCGGGTGAACCCGAAGCTAAAATGCTGCCAGTAGGATTGACAGCCAAGGCATAGATTGAGCATTTGCTCGATGTGTTGTGAAGCATACCTAAGGGAGATGCTCAGCATTTGAAACGATACATGTCCCCAAGGATACATACTGGTACTTTCACTGGATCCATCTGTAAAATGACTGGCAGGGCCAGCATCAATAGTCAACGCTGCTTCTGATTTCTCTATATCCCAAATATTGATGCGTCTGTCCAAACCACCGCTAGCAACCCATCCAGGTTTTGATGCATAGGTCAAGCATTTAGCATAATCAGTGTGGTATCCAATTGTATGAGCTGCTCGAGGTGTATCACTGTATGGCTTCCACAATTTGATTGTTCTATCGGATGAAGCTGAGACGACTATTACAGCAAGCATGGTTTAGAATGAGCGCTATATGTGTGTGTGTCGAGACGAATAGTCTTCTGATTGTACGTTACCACAGGTGCCTTGTTCACACAAGACGATATCGTTTACCCAGTCCGTATGCATTTGGGAAAATGCCTTACATGTCGTTTTGGGTAGAGCCTACCAGTGTTTACATATGAGTACACATTATCGCGTGGTGCGTGCAACAAGACACATTCCTGCTCTCTGTACTTGCCTTTGTTTCTCCATCTAATTTCCATTTCTCGTCTGCATTTCTCTTAAATTCCATGTGCAAATCCCAACTTGCAACAATGCCGTCTCTTCCAGCTGAATACAAGACACCTCCTTCGGCAGTGTCAGTCTTGGCATTGCAATTGGATGTATCAATGGCTAACGAGTTGACTCCAAGACAATGTGTTTGCTCTTCATTACATAGCTTGACTACGTAAGATACCTTACGACGAGTGGCTGCTTTCATTGCTTCTCGGTTCTCTATTTGTGCAAAAGATGAAAAACAGTAGTGAAGAAAAGCAAGAACAATTAAGGAAAGAGACAAAGTGAAAGAGGGCAGGAAACCAAGAAATTATACGAAAAACCAGTAGCACAGACTGAAATTTAATCTGGGTATGTGGTGTTTGTTCACAAGTGAATATTCCCAGTGTGTGTTCTCTTCATGAAATGTTGCGTTGTGAGGCATTAAACATTGGATGAAGCGGGGGACATGAGGTGTTTTGGTCCGTCAAATGGTTCAATCGAGTTTATTCAATCGCTGCTCTTTTAACCAAGGTAGAAAAGGCTTGAATCATGTTTTCGGAAAAAGTAATTTGTCGTTCCATTTTTCCATTTTTTCACTTGAGAACTGGGTTCAACTTGCTGTGTCTACTTGGAAGCAAACCCTTCTTACAGTCATTGTTTCATTGAGATACGAATTAAATCCCTGTATATGCTGATCTGTAACAAATGACGATGTATTTGCATAGTAGGGATCTCGCGTTGCAAGTGCATTTTTGAGGCATCAAATGTCATTCCATTTACCATGGGCAGCTCCTTTTGGTTTACAATCCATTACAGAAGCACATTATTTCAATCAACAACTATCTAGTGCAAGTCCTGTTTTGTTCATATTTGACGGTAGAAAGAAAAAATCTCGCTAACAGTAAGCCCTTCATGATGATGGTATTACAATTCAAATCATCCATGCAATCATTACGCAATCTTTGGTGCTGAACTGCAAAAGGTTACCTAGGCAAAGCATTGCATAGCAAATTAGAATTAAAGCATGAGCTACCTGCTCTTGCGTTCAGTTGATAGAGCATCTCACCATCTCATCGTTTAAAAAAAATGGTAAAGCAATTGAATTTGGCACATGCAAGGCGATTGCATAAGCACGTAAGAACTACATACACGTTCAGAATGAAAAGTAGCAAAAAAGGGCTTCTCCGGGAATCGAACCCGGGACCTCTCGCACCCTAAGCGAGAATTATACCACTAAACCAAGAAACCTTAGATGATATTGAAAATCTAAAAAATTTATATATAGACAAGCACTAAAATTTAGCTACCGGCGCTGCTTAATTTTCGATGCACTGTTGTAGGTTTTCTTTCATACAAAACTGTTAGTTTCAGTAAATGTTTCAGTGGCTTTGTTCTTAAAATATTCCTAGTTCAAACCATATGGAAGTGTGTTGTTTCATTTTCCTGAGTAATATCAACCGGTACGGCCTGCAGTAAAAAAGGGTTAAAAAAAGCAGGCAGAATACTGCTAAAATCCTTCTTTACTCGAAATTAGGATAATGTGCAATAAAATGTATATTCTACGTCTCTATTTATATTATTTGGTTTATATCTCTTATCTGGCAGCAGTTTAGTAGTTGCCAGTGATTCCATTACTTTATATATTTTTGTTGGGTCATTTAATTGTTGATCTGATGGATCAAGAACGGTATTTCAATATATGGTTTTTGAATCATGCGTAAAGAATAGCTCTTTATTGTTGAGCCTGTATTCTTTTTAGGTATATTTATGTTACAACACATTACAATACCCTTGACATTTACTTTAGTATCTGTCATCTCTCATTTTAGAGCATTTAACCCTTGCTATCATCATGCTAATACTATTATTATGCATGCCTATCTGCTGATGGTAGCATGGTTTAATTGAGATGACATTTATTTTGGGCTTTGTTTATGATGGGAATCTAGTCTAGTTCACTTCAGTGCAATAGCATGACTAAACTTGATGACTTGAACTTGATGACTAATTATTATCAATTAGTTTCTTTGACTCCTGAGAACCAAGGTCGTGGTGGACATAGACATAACACTTGAGCCACATCATCACAGATCCAGGAACATGATCTTGGCTCTGTTCATGACAGAAACTCGCTTTCAGGGACAAAAGGTCATAGGCTACCACAGCTCAGGAACCAGAATATACCGTAGGTTAGCCATTTGGTGGCCCTACTCATGTTCATTTGTACTGCATATAATGTACTCCAATGTTCGATTCAGTCAACAATGTTGAATGACACGGATTGAGAAGTTGTCATATGATGCATTTCACAATATTATTTATGATCTGATACTATAGCATGTTCTGCACATACATATCTCACCATAAATTCCTATATGAACAACTTTGCTATAGATATCCATTTTAATTCTTTTATATATATATACGTAGGTCGTCACATAAATACAGACATAAAGCTTGAGATACTGAGAGGCACTTGTAATCAATCCCACGGCAGACTAACTCACAGTTTACACGGACGGTAAAACCTCCTAAGCCGACAACCAGCTGAAAGACTATTATTGAAATAATTCCACCAACAGCTTTATTAGTACAGTAATAACGGACTACAATTTAGGCTTTACACTCGATGCGAAAAAGTCATTGCTTATATTTATTTTAAAAAATCCGAAAGAACCTAATAATTGCCTAAATGCGTTAAAAGCATCATACGTCTCACTAATTGACCAAATTAAAAATTTTACATAAGCTTATTACAAAATCAAGGCAATCGACAAACCGAATCTCGTCTTTCAGAAAGGCAAACTGGTGGTACAGTAAACTGCCACAGAGCAGGTGCCAGAGAAAGTATGAACTGCAAGACAATGAATCTGTCTCCATCTACAATGAGCACTACGATTAAGAGAACAGGCTCTACTAATGATGCCAGATTACTTTTAAAACGTTTTGGAGCTCCATTGAAGAGGGATATTAGTCCCAGAGAGACGGCTCGTACGACAGCTTTGTCCTGCCCCATTGTTACCAGTACAGAACCATTCCAAGACAAGCTTGGATACCAATCTATCAATTTCAGTTGAAACTTTCAAGAAGTATATGAAACTAATTGGCTATTAATTTTACAAGGCTGCACACAGGCCAGCATTGGCGCCTAAAGACAAGCAGAAAAAAAACTGCCTTGGTGTTTGGACAACGTTGGATGGGGGCTACATCAGTGGAAGAAGGTTGTTTGGTCCGACGAGTCCAAATTCATGGTCATCCTCATTGTCAGCATTAGAAAGACAATTGCTCCAGTCAGAAGCAGCATCGCACCCCGTTGCTGCCGCCAAAACTCATTCAAACTCAGTTGATTCATTCTGATCAATATTGGCCAAATTTCGTCTTTTGTGGACTTCTTTAACTATTTTGTGATATTTGACTATACAAATGGTGATTACCATCTGATGCTTCCTAATACATTCTTGGAATGTTCTTTAAGGCGCTTCTAATGATGCCAAGTAAAATAGATGTTTTAACTGAACTTATTGAGCAATTTGGTAAAATATAATATACGGTTTTTGGCCAAAATGTCAAAATCTTGCATATAAAAACCTCATAAAAGCAATTCCAGAAGTTGCTTTCGGTTGAGAGAAACATTTTGATATCATATATACCATAGTAAAATCCTTCATCTTCAAGGCAAAAAACGCGATCATTTAATTTTCAATGAAAACCATGAGGGGTACCTCATGGTTTGAAGTCGAGTTTTGTCCATAATTTTTTGGTCCCCAAAAAGTTGAGCAACAGTGGCAATAAGTAACTGCCAGATGAGAGCAACTGTTTGGTGCTCTTCTGACCATTTAAAACGGTCTTGAAAACGAGAAAACGCGGCTTAAATGCATTCAAATCTTGCTCTTCTATCATGGACACTAAGGAATAAAAAGGGGATGTACAAGTATACTGCTTGCCCGTATGTGAAGTAGCTTCGTGTACAATAGTATAGACCTAGGAATCCTGAGACGCATTTCCAATCAGCCTTCGCGGCACTGCGACTCTCAGTAAAGTGACACAATAGAAAGTAGATGATAGAAAGCCAACTGAGGGACTATCATCATTGAAACAACAACAGTAGATTTACTTACAATAATAGCAAACCGTCGCTCCATCTATTTCTAAAATATCTATACACATCACTTGCAACAATCTAACGTGTCATCGGATTTGGCAAGCGTACCAAAAATATTAGGATCCTACGGTGTATTCAAAAAGCTTTCAAAGGAGCCGTATATTTCATGCAACTAAAAAAAAACATCTTCATTTCGTACGCAGTAGAAAGCTAATACTTCACTGTTTTATTTCCTTCTCATAATTTAAGTAATCCAGCATCTCGTTGATAGTTCATGGCTATTTAACATATTAGAGCCCCCAGGTTTAATAGCCCTGAAAGCCAATCTCATGGAAGCATGACCCTTAATAAAAAAAAAACATATATGATAACAACACATTTCATTTACTTTAAAAGAGCATTAGTAATAAGCGGAAAAGACATGAAACTCGCTTGTTTGGTTACTATGATGGTAGTGACACTTTCCAAATTTCGTTACTTTATAGTCTAATCCGGGCTTACGCTCTGGATTACAAGTGTTACATTAAGCCAGTTAGATACTCTACATACTATCTCCAGCCAATCAATACAGCGACTGATAAGAACGCGTAAAAATTTTTAATAGTATATCCAAAATCTTTTTTTGTATATTGTTATTCCCCATCTTTTCGCTTTTTCTATTCGTAAAAACGCTATATCTCAACATGTTCAGCCTTATTAGCTCTGCTCTTATTGCTCTCGCTCTGTTGATGTTCTTTATGACACCAGTTGGATTATGTCTTTTGTTGGCTTCTCCTTTCTGGACGGTAGGTATGGATGTTGTGTTCTACTTTGTGGATAATCAATATCCTGACACGATTGTTGCAGTTGTTTCGGCAGTTGTGGCTCTCTTGTTGATAATCGTTGTTCGATTCATCTGGCGCGTTTTGCTTTTGCAAGGCGGCCCATATCCAGGTGATGAGGCAGTGGTTGTTGCTTATCCTGTCTCTGCTGCTGTTGCCGGTAAGTACGGCATGTCCTTTGACGCACTTGTTGCTGATGAGGCTGCTTCTCTCTCTTCCTCTTCTGTTAGTGGTTCGCGCCCTAACCAAGCTCCTCACGAGTATCGTTTCTCTGTTGGTGGCTCTGTTATTGTAACTTGC